TTTTTTTTTTTTTTTTTTTTTAAAGAGTACATTTTTCACTCTGTAACAAAACCTAAACACAGGGATAATATTATGTATTTTTATAGCATATAAATCAACACAGATTTGACCTCAGGAGCTACCAGAACAAAGAACACCCTAATCTCCCTAAGTAACAAGAGAAGTAGTAACAGTAACTCAACCCAAATTTATCTTTAGTCAAACATCCTTCAGCTCTCTTGCAAATATCTTTATCTGCATAAGAAAGAAGCTAAGACAGCTGCCCTCATACAAGTGTGCRCGGTTAACACGAACACCCCTCCATTACTGCTCAGGAGACCCAAGTGCACTCTCTAAMGACCTTGACTACAAATACTATTTAGGCAGTATAATTCCAGATAAAACCCTAGGGTACATGAAGAGAGATAACATGATTATTTTCAAAATAACACAGCAATAAACCCATTTGTYTATTTTCAAGAAGTTTATAGCCGGACTGAGCAACACTGTGGAAAGAACCATCTAAACAGAGAGAACACAACTGTCCCTGCACCTAAGAGTTYACAATGTAAGACTCAAATACCAATCAGAAGACTGAAATAATCCTATCACAACTCCAGGATAAGTATCAGGGAGAGGTACAGTGTGCTGCACAGCACTGGAAGTAGCACAGTGCAGGTTCTAGGGCTTCTCTACAGGTATTTTCTGTGCAGTGTCGAAAAGAACCAGCAACTTTTAGGCCTCATTTTCCCCGCTGCAGGGCATGGGGACAGCAGTTTCTTTTTTCCCCTCAGTGGCACAGCTGAAACTAGTTTGTAGAGTCCTTCTTGGGTGGAGAAGCCTGAATTAGCCTATTGTAATTATTAACATACTAGAAGAAGCTGCTTTTGATTATCTCATTTCAGATTAGTTGCTTCTGAAAAGTCAGGTGCTGCCTCTGTAATATCTCAGCTGGACTCTGTCCATATTATGCAAAAGCCCTTGACTAGTTCCAGTTCCAATAGCAAGCGATAATGTCTAACAGGATGACAAAAAAAAAAAAAAAAAAAAATTGTTCATCAAGCTGCACAACACAGAATTACTTTGGCTGGATGCAGAAAATGATGGCAGGGGAGCATCAAAGCAGCTCACTTGATTTAGAGCAAGTGCTGCTCCGTGGCTCCTTCCACAGCCACTCCACTGCACGGGATTAGCAGCAGAGGACTCCTCCTCCAGCACACCTGGTGTTAACCCTGAGCACCGACACCTCGCTCGGACCAGAACGGAAGCTGTTGCTGTTCTGGATTTCTGACTCCATTAAAAGAACGGAACTGTTTTTCTTACTTCCCAAAGTGCTTCTTACAATCCCTAGGTTCAGCAGCTTTTCTAGCTTAAGTTCTGTCTTTTAACAGAATTCCAACTGAGGTGATGTTTTAACATGGTTATCCCATAAAAAATGTTGTCTCCATTCACTCGCTGTGAGATACTGATAGAATGAAAAACATTTTATTGATATTAATATGTATGAAACAAATATCCTCAAAACTGACTTTCACAGAGATTGGGAGCTGTATGCATATGTAAGACTTCTAGTTGGTCCAGCAGCCCAATGAACTACAAAACAATTTGTTCTTCAAGAATATSAGGGCTTCACTTACATCTGCAAAACACTTCAGAGGTCTGGGTAACAGGCTCCTGTACAGCTACAAATAGCAAGAATGGAAATTATGAATCCTATTTAGAGATGTTAAAAGTTACTGTGACCCTGTAAGCAAAGGAACATAAAACTGAAGGAATTCTGCACAGATTTCGCTTCCCATTATATATCTTTCCTGTCATACTTGAAGGTTTCCTTCGTGAGCAATTCAAACGCTGTCCAGCAGCGCAAGTCTTGTTTGGGATGCAYGCTAAAGCTGACCTGGAAATGCAGCTCAGATCCCAGAAAGAACATTTGGAACTGCTGATTCAAATGCGGCAGCAGTTTCTTTGTCCTTAGGAGAATAAAAGAAATTTGGAAAATATTCTGGGTGGGTGCTGCTCTTTGGTTTCTTCCTGCAGTGTCAGTGGAGGGGGAAAAGCTACAGGAGTCTTGAATGTGACTGAAAGGCATCAGGCCTCCTTGCATGTAGGACTGACTATAGGAGTGATCATCCCTTTAGAATTTGAAAGCCCACACTAAGAGGAAATAGAAGTCTTACCCCTTTTCTGTATCATAAGATTTACTTAGGAAAACTCTTTTCYCAGGAAAAAGTTTTCTTTCGCAAGAGCTCCATTAACCCACTGCTTAAGTGTTACACTACTTTCAAAAGCGCCTGTAAAACACATGAAGCTTTCTAGAGGAGAGGTCAGGACTCCCTTTGCAGAAGAGGTCGGCCAGCCTTGGCTGACAAGGACAAGAAAGTCAGCTTAGGGTAATATTAAAGCAAAATGGCACCTCGCTGCAATGACACATAACCTGCAATTCTCCTCTGAATGAGATGTACCAGCCTCTGACACGGGTAAGAGTTAACATTTTGTGAATGTGAATAGATATTATGAAGTTGGACAAAGAAGAGGAGGAAAAACACAACATAATTAGATTACAAATGTACTCTAAGACTCTTAAAACTCTATTATAGCTACTTTGCTTTTTAGTAGTCCAAAGAAATCTTCCTGCCTGCCTCACAACATGGGAAGATACTAAGAAGGAATGCAGTTTCATCTACCTAAAGCAGTAACATAACTTTTTGAAAGAGTAAAGAACCAGTCTAGAGTCTATATATCACAGAGGCTCCCAATGCCATGCTTCAATTTCAAGGATTTCCTAAAGAGCATCAGGTTTCCCAGACCTTGACTTGTAGCAGAAACTCCTGAAGTAACTCTGAAAAAAGATGTTTTCCAGACCCCAGCACTAGTATTCAAAACCCTTGACTACAACTAGCCTTCTGTTTAAAATGCTCAAGTATTTTTCTTTCTGAAATTTATCACTTTTCTTAAAGCCTTGCAACATTATCAAGCCTTCTGCCTGTTATGCATTATTTGGTCATTTACTGTCAGTCTAACCACAAATAATTTCTCATCCTTCCTCATGGATTTCATCTGAGTGAGTCTGTAATGCATCTATTACTCATTGGCAGCCAGTGAAAAGTATGTGCAACAGCTTCCTCATCAGATCACAAGGTGAAATTATATTTTCTGAAGCTATTACAGTCCCTGGATCAATTTCAAGAGAAGCAGACAAGAAAATATTACTGTTGTCTGGCAATCTAGATACAAATTATCAAAATTTGGTGAAATTACTTACATTGTTTTCTTGATTCCTGTTATTCTGAAGAAGGGTGATGACACAATTGTGGATGAAGAAGGCAAGTGTCAGAACACCCGTGAGCTGAGGAAACAGAATTCTAAACTCTGAGGAGAGGAAAAAAAAGAAAAGAAGTGTTAWTTACTTCCATCTTTGAAACAAATGATAAGATACACAGAACATACAGTGCTGAAGTCTACTGCCAGAAATGTGAACTGTCATCTTGAGATGGGCCAGTATCTTGCCACTCATCAGAGCCAATCCAGTTGTCATGAAGTACAGAATCATGAAAACAGTGCTGATTAACTACTGGAACAGTCTCCAAGAACAGCATCACAGGATCCCAACAATAAAAGATTATCAGGTTAATCTAGGACTTTGTATAAAGCCTTTCTGCTTCTCAGAATTATTAGGAAGCATTTTTGACGCTGGAATCGGTTCCAGGGAGACTGTACGTGTAACCTTCCCTCAAAACAGAGATAAGGTAAWGGTGTCATTTGTTCTGTGAGCATGTTTTCTTTCTTATTGACCTAGGTCAAGATCAACAAGTTAACTATGCCAGAAACTGCCATCTGTAGATATGTGAGATGCTGCTTCCAAACTAAAAGCCCTGAAACAGGCTGAGAAAATTCTTGACTTATCATAATCCACTCCTACTTCCCCTCACTTTTGTGTGTGTGGTGGGGGAGGGTGTGTGTGTGGGGGGTGCCCCTCCATGGGAATATCTCTTCTTTTCATACTCAGAGCATTATGTCCACAAGACTGTATTTACTGAAATACTGCAAATATTCTGGAATTTATCAATGCTATAACATCACTAGTGCACCATACTGAGTGTACTACATAAGGATATACATACCCTCTGAGTGTTACACCAGTTAGAGACTGCTGAGMTAGCTCAGCTCTGGAAGGCGTCCAGCAGCGCAGCAAAACTCTTACCAGACTCTCACAAGCACAGATCAAATCACAGAGAGCTCCATGCAAACATATCTGGACCACTTTTCTCTAAATTGTAATGCAATCTGTATGGCAAAGGTACCCTAGGTACTTAACAAGAGGGCTCCTGCAACCTGACAGACTCCATCTTCTTGTGGACATGATGCTGGTTTGGGTACACCTGAAATATCTAACTAGCGTGACGTGCTATCAATAGAACTCAGAGCACACAAGCAAGTCTTGGGCTTCTTTCCCACTACTTTCACCTCAGTAAAACAGTCAGTCTGGCAGATACAGAAGCTCCCCCAGCACTGTGCTTCCCCCACCACTGCAGCAGCCTGGATGTGTCTGCGGTAGCTACGTGCTGGCCTTGTCCCCTAGCAGTACTAGCCACACTGCCAAAATCATCAAGCTGCTGCATGCTATGTTTCTTACAGTACCCTGCAGAACATATTTCTATAATTCATTTTACACTAGCACTGCTTAATAGGGCTTTGGACTTGAACCTCAGGACACCTCAAATCAGCCTGRTTTCTGATTTACACACATGTGTTTGTGAACCCGAGTCTGGGTGAATTTTCTCCTGCATTACAAAGAATCTGCAGATGTGAATCCACACCGGAATTCCCAGACTGGTTGCTGGCACAGCTCACATTCAAACCCAGCCTGCAGAGAAAGGTTATATGGGGTTTCTCAGAGAGAGGTGGCAGTAGCGTGTTGTATTTACCTAACTGCCCTGTTGTATTTTTTAAATCTTAGCTTTTGTGTGCAGTACCATCAGCAGAAGCCAGCTTTAGCACTTTAAATTTCTCARTTTCATCAGTTAGTTGGAAACCAACTCTTGTAGCAAACCAATGAGCCATTAACTAGAATTCAATTTCTTAAAGACTCATTTTATCCCATATTACTGTAAGGCTTTGGATGCTCAGAACCCTTTACTTGCCAAGTCTTCACTTCTCAACCTATGTGCTCCCTGTCTATATAAATTCTGCACTGCAGCAAGACTAAACATTCTAGTCTACCAAATACAGCCTTTGAGCAGCACAAGTTAGCATATTATTCCTACTTACAAATGAGAGTTGAGAATAATGTCATACAAAAATAAATTAGGTCATTAGCACAGATGCTAATCACCGAGTGCTTTGAAATCCAAATTGTTACACTGCACATAAAAGTAATTCATCAGTCCATAAAAGCACTCTTACAGCATACACAGTGATGATGAAAACAGACCAACACACACATCACTGCAGACCTTACCTACTTCTATCTATGTATTTATACATGTTGAACACCCAAGATTCTTAGGGAATCATGGAAAACTTCCTTACATGCAATTCATCCCGACAGAATCTGTTTTGGCCTTCTACAAAGGGATACTTGGCAAAAATTGCTCAGCTTTGAAGACTCAAGCCAGAACTGACCATCATTTTCCTTCTCAGTGACATAATCAAGCTTAAGAAAAAGTTTTACCACAGCTTTTGCTCATTTCTCACCATTCAGATCTTGAAACAGGCTTCTAAAAGCCTGTCCAAGATGCGGAAGCACGGACCTTCAGTGGTCGTGGGAGAATGAGTAAGMAGAACTGATGAGAGCGCTCTCCACTGAGAGGTGGGGAAAGGAGAGATACTGGATTATGAGCAGAGTTCTGATAAAAAATACACAGAATACACTCAGCTCTTCATTTTTTTTTCCTCAAACAAGCCCAATTTAACTGTAGAGCTGAATCAACCTAGTGGGAGTAGTAGTAGAAGAAGGGTAACAGCTGCAAGACTAACACAACTCTCATGTGAATACACRTCAATTATATGAATTGTGTATCACTTAGTGACTATTAGGTGTAGTTTATCTGTTGAGCCAATGACRCTGTGTCTTACCACAATTGCACAGATAAGAATAGATTCTATCATCTACTGCAGAACAGCTCTGGTGTTTCTCTTTCGATCTCCATTTTACTACAGTAATTTAAATTGTTTCGTAATGATTTAAATCACTGTGGTTCTCTTCTTCAATTCCACAGTCACAGTCCTAACAAGAGTTTCCATCCTATGTGGAAAACCAAAACAGCACTTATCATGATTAGGACTTCTTAAGCCATGCACTGCTGGGAAGAATGGCACAAACCACAGAAGAAAACTGAAGAGACTGCTTATCTCTGAACTTTGTCTTATACTGAAGTAAATAAGTAACTTTTAAAGAAGGATAAAACTGTTTTTGCTCCTAAACATACGAGAGTGATCCARTTCAGTACCACAGCACAGCTCCTTGAAGCTAGGTGGAAATGCAGTTTTTTTTTCTCCTATTGTAAAGCATGGGGATGGGGAAAACAATAGCTAAACACCTGGCCCTAATCCCTCTTTCCAAGTCTCCTTAAATACGGAACTGATCTCCCTCTAGCTTACCTGTTCATGCAGTAGTGCCATTTGTACAAGAGCTAACTGGCATTTGAAAGAGCAGGAGAGATGTGGCTATACATGACAAAGGTTGCAGATACCTCTAACGGTAGCTTCTCCTCTTCTCCAGTGTTGATACTTGTCTCCTAACAAGCAACATTAATAGAAGGATTTCTTTTCCCTTCGTCACAAGAAATCCTTCCTGGGCTTCCAGCTGTGACATCGGATAGCATCTCCTTGCTCCATTTACCTCCCAGTGCCATTACAAGGTGGCTGAGACAAACATATATGAAGTCTTTTAAAAAGTCTAATTCCCACGGCATACACACGTCTCATCTTACCTGGTACAAAAAATTCGTTCTCTGTAAACCAGTTGAATTCTAAGTGGATCCCAAGTTGAGCAGCCTTCACAGTGACAAGAAAAACTAAGTAGACAACTGAAACTGTACCTAAATGAGAGGGGGGGAAAAAATGAACAAAAAGCAGTACAARGTATGCTCTTTTTCATTCTTACTTCATCCTACAAATGACCCAAAGTCCAAATAGATTGGTATTTGCTCTTAAAAAGACAGGGCAAGGCTAAGTTCCTTCCTTTTAGGTCAGAAGTCAGAGAAAGAGCAACACAAATCCATGCAAACTCCAGATATGTTTAATCTTCTCCAGGTGCTGCATGAGTGATGGCAGAAGGGATGCCCTGCAGTGCCCAGCACTTCAGGCAGAGAGAGAAGGACTTCAGCTGACATGGTTTCCATCTGACAGGGCATCTAGCTGGCTGAGGGATTGCACGTGCTACAGTGCCCATTCAGTCCTTACCTTTGGAACCAAATGGCACAGTGTGATACCAATTAATGCTAACTGTAATTGCAAACTTGACACTGGGAGTCAAAAGCCTAATAACTGCATTTGACTGTGATGAGTATAACCCTTGTCTTGAACATAACCTAAGTGCACAGGATTTGCCTTATATGTGACCGGTCCAGAGTCATCCAATAATACACTGAGCAGCCTGAGAGCTACAAGTAAGATCAGAGATGGATGTATAATGGATATGGATGGATGTATAATGGATATAAGTGTCCTGCCATATCTGCATGTGGGACAGACAGCATATGATCTCGGTGCTGGTTATTTAAAGAGATAGGGACAGCAGAAGGGCAATAATAAATACCAAAACAATAATTACCCATATAATACAAATAATAACCACCACCCAAAGACCAAAGGAAATGACATTAGTAGTAAATAAAACTACTGTGATGAAGCATCCTGGCTAACAATCCTGCTAGTCATAGAACAGGCTGTAAGTAAATGCTGATTCTTTACCTTCACTCATATAGGTCAGAATACAGATTCAGAGAAGATACCATTTCATTCTAGCAAGATCTCCAGGATTACAAAATAAAGAAATATTTCATTTGATTACACAGAGAAGAGTCCAGGAGTTAAGTAGGGAGAGGGTTCTGTGCTTGAGGACCAGGTGAACAGCTAGTATGGCCCATGGTTTCCTAAGCAATCAAGTTTCTGCAAGTGTAAATATCACTAAAAGAAACCTTCTATTATTTCAGCACCTCAAAAAAATACCTTCCACTTTTTCTTGTGCTATAATATTTAAGGTTCACCAAAATTATGAAAACTTCGAACAGTTTCTTCRTTGCCTATTTATTTTCTGAGTAAACCTGAAATTTTTCATAAGAACAGATTAGTCCTTAAATGAAARAGTTGCCCATGAGAATACACTTTGCACATATTTTAAAAAGAGGTACAGTCTCACTTGAAAAAGTAATTTCTTACTCCTAATGTGTCAATGCTTGGTTTTTCTACAAAAAACCTCACTTTTTATATATAACTACTGTCATTTACTTCAACAATAACTTCCTGTGTTGTATTTTCATTTGACTTGTCAGATTCAAGCTCTAAGGAGGTGTCACACCAAAGTGGACAAACTAGGCTCTCATCTCCCTGTTCTCTACCCCTTCTATTGCCCGCCTCTTTCTTTTTCAACCCACTGGGTCCTCCCTATCTCCTTTTCTGTCCTCTTCACCACTAATGCCCTCTTGCCTCTCCYTGACTATAAACCAGGACCAATCCCATCCATCATCCATGCACTTCATCCACCCCACCAAACCCTGGCCTGTAAGGCACAGAAACAAAAGCAAGTAACAAATGTTCATCTTGCAGCACAGAACAGACCACAGAACCAGGAGCTGGCAAGGCACAGCAGCAAGTTACAGTGATTGACTAATGATGGTACTAATTAACCAACTGATTGGTAGCAAAGGGCTTCAGGTCACTGGCAATTACCTTTGAAAGTAACCATTTTTTACCTGATGAAGGATATGTCTGACTGCCTGTGCCAAGGCAGCATGAATCAAATGCTACTGTGAAGTCTGTGTTCCATAGTTTAGAAAAATCTGTTGTAAATAAACTAGAACTTGTTTTACAGGATTATCAAGGAAGTAAAGGAAAAAATCTCTCCTCATTAACATTAAGGCTCAAACAAAGCAGGACAGAAAAAGCCTGTGGGTGATTTAACAAACGAAACAATGAACCACTTCGAGGTAGGATATTGGCTACTGCAAAATTGCTCACTGGAGTAGTTCTCACTGTTTGTATACATATATTTTTCTAACTGCAATGAACGAATTCTTTCAGAGTACTTGTTACCTACCTAGAACATTAAATTTTGCAAAGAAAGATGGAGACTTCAGATTTAGCAGGGGCAGGAGGGTGGCAATCAGGTAAAACGGTACTGTTCGTGACTTGTCCCACCACTCCTCGAAGAGCTCAAAACTGGTACTGTTGCCAGAAAAGAGTGTCACGCTCCCGTTCCGAGGTGGAAAATCTTTAGCAGCACCCGGGCAAATAACTGGAACAAAGAAAACCAAAAATATCCCCTAATGCAAAAAGAGGTCATTTGCACATAATCTTCACAACCAAGAGCCCATAATTTCTGGGAAGTGTCTTAGCAGTGTGGAGTAGGACTACTCAGAAGCAACATTTGACAATTCTGCTCCTACTTTTTCTTTTTTTAATTATTTCTTCTGTATCAGGAGTTGAGAGCTAACATTTCATTGCCTGGCTACAGCACCAGGGTCCTTTCACAGAAAGCTGACAAAGGCTAATGTGCTTACACAGCTGAACATGAGCGAGACGCCTGTTCTGTTCTAGCRGGAGCTACTACACAGGATAAGCCTTAGAAGCACCTACAAGCAGGTGTGTGTTCAGTGTCCACCTGTTGCAACCCAGGCACAGCAGCACATGGTGGCATCTGGATGCTTATTTAGCACCACGATCTGCCTCTGCACAAATATGTCAGATGACACAAACCAATRCAGGTGCCTCTGCAGGCAGAAGAGCGTGTATCAGTGTGTGTTGTCCTGGGAATACAAGCTGAGGATGACAAGAAAGCTGCTGTAATCAATAGTAGGTATAAGCTTGTGAATAGAAGCGAAAMGCCCTATCATCTTGGGCCTTGTCACATACAAGCAATTCAATGAAACAATCCAGCAGAAGCAATTTAACATACATTAATAATAATGTTGCCAGAAGGGAAGGTCCTGTTGTGCGGCGACTCATCAAGARCAGTTGCCATGGTGGCACCTGGGCAAGTGACTGCACCAACAAAACCCAAAAATATTTCTTTATGAAAAGGGGTTTGTTTGYTTGTTGCTAATAGGAGTATTCATTTCTAAGAGATGCCTACAAAATTAYGTGTTGAAATATGAATCTTATTCTTCTTACTGTCTTACTATTCTTTTTTTCTTTTTATTTTTAATCTTAGCACCTCTAAAAGATGTAGGTGTAGAGGTGTAGAAAACAGGTGTAGAAAGCGTCCTATCAAACGTTACCTACTGATCCTCATGTTACTTTACTTACATTTTGCGTTTATTTTCTCTCCATTGCTTATTAAAGGATCATTCCACAAGCCTATCAAGACGCTTTCATTCTTAGTGATCACTTTGCTAGTCCTGCATGCCTTGGCAAGTGTCACTCAAACAGCTGCCRACCCTTAATTTCATGCAGCAGCTGAACTCAATCTTCCAGTCACTGGAAGATGCTATGGAATATGATTTCCTACTTCATCTCTCTGTTATACCCTCTGCTGCATAGGAAGGAAACAGAAGCAAGAGGGAAGAATACAGCAGTAGCTATTGGTGCCTATGGCTGGTAAGGACCACAGGACAAACAGGATTCAGAATGAGCTCAAATGCAAGTCAACTATTTTTCAGGATTTTGTTAACTCTTTGCCTTACTCTAGGGCTGCTCTCCAGCAGCTATGCTGCAGCACTGTGACACACAGCTGTCTGACTGGTTTGGAAAKGCTGTTCCATTCCGATATGCACCTAGGATAGGGATAATTTACTGTTTCATCACGCAGGGCTACACTTYCAGGTGCTATGCAAAGGCACAAGATCAGAAGCTGACAGTGTCCAAGCTCCTACCTTCATTGTACATTATTCTCTCTTCTTAAAAGTCCTCAGGGGACCTGTCTCCATACTCAGCTGCTGCATTCTGCACTAGTCATGAAGATGCCAGGCGCTCTGCAGAAGCACGTGGACACTTGTGCAGCCTGACATGAGTTTCTCTTTGTGTTCAGCATCACTGAAGCTGTGACTACAGTATTTTTAATAATTACACTGTAGAGCTGTGAGGAGCACAGGTGCCCCAGCCAAGCTTTTCCAAAGTAAACACATCAGACTTGCCTTAGTTTCAGGGTGCCAAAGATAAATTCCTTAAGTGGATTACTCATTGTACAACTACTGTGAGAGATTTAACATTCATAATTTCAAGGAGTATATTCTAGCTGGGCACACAAATATATAATTCACTTTTTAAGCCCTGCATCTCCTTTTCTTTAATTATTAGATTTGCCATCCAAGAATGTGGTTCTATGTGAAAATACAAATCCCAGATAGAAAAATTACAGCTTTAAAAAATACATAGTTAGACCTTAGAATACACTGTATAACTGAAAAGCAGATAAAAATTAGGCATGAAACCAYGCTCATTTGCCTTTAAGCCCTTACCCAAAAAACAGGGAACGTTTGTTCTTACCTTTGTTACTTTCATTAGTGCCAGGAACAATTTCTGTTACATTAATATTATGAACAAAATCTGAAATAGAGAAAAAAAATCTTATGACAGATGTTCTACGCTTGTTATTTATTGAGAACACTACTTACAGCCCTGGTACTAGGTGCACTCCTGTTACTGCTCTGCCTTGGTAGGATTTTTGAGGTTCCTTAACTTTGTCAGTTCCAAATTTCTAGACAGCAGTTTCCTTCTTTGCCATCTGAAGTTTAAATCAACCAGTTGATTCCTTCTCTATGGCCCTACTGTTTCTCCCTGCATAGAGCCTAAGCAAAACTGGCAGTGCCAGTCCTGCAGAGGATGCACAGGCAGCAGTAGGCTCGTGAGCAGCACATTGTCACACAAGAAGGATTCCATTCCAGGGGTCTGAATCCTTTGGGGCATCACTGCTACAAAGAATTAGACAGACTCACTGTACGGATCCCCAGAGCAAAGGAGTATGCACCTAGAGCTGTGCTCCTGAAGCTACCTTTAAACTCCAGCCTATGACCTCCAAAACACACATACACACACACACACACACACAAATAAATAAACAGATAAAGAGAAGAATCATAATGGATGAAAAAGATTTTAAGACCATTGAGTCCAAACATAAGCCCTTCAACAGCAAGGAGGCATCACACTTTGCTTAGAGTGTCTGTATTCTGCAAAGCACCTCCTGGAACACCTTTCCTCAGGGAACTCATTTGTTCCTGAGGAACAATGTGCCTGAGGAGATGGGAATTAAATACAGTAGCCTCCTTATGATAAGCTATAAGCACATGGCTGGAAGATGCCAATTGGTCTAACCAACATTTCATTCCTTTTCTAACTTAATAATTAAATAGTGACAATGAAAATTAGGAGAAAAAACAAACAAAACCCTGAAGTTACCACACAGCAAAGAGCTGTGAGAACCCCTCAAATAAGAACCTCTCTAAAATATTAAGTGATAAATAACACAGTAAGGGCATAGAGAAGAAGGGTTTTTTTTCCCTCTAGTAAATGAAATCTTCTTAACATTCTGAAGTCTACTTACACAGAATAATTTGGTTTAGAATAATTTAGGATTAATAGGTAAATATTATAGAACTACAACAAAACCTTTAGATGAAATGCTTTATGAATGCAGGATTTAGATCAGCTCTAAAATAGCCAACAATTAACCAGAGTAATGTGTGTCCTTTGGGGATGGTGGGAACTCTAATTAAACCTTAAGAGGTTTAAGTATCTGTGCTGCTGTTTGCTTCAAAATCAAGAGACATCTGTTARTTACTGTGAAAACCAAAACTCTCAAGTCTTAGCTGCGCTATTCAATAAGAGGAGTCAGATTTCCAAAGCTCTCAATTCCATCTTTTTATTCCCAGAGCTCTCCACACCTAATTGATTGTATCCACAAAGCCTTTGCTTGTGTATGAGGGCGCAGCTGTCCGACAGGTTTTCTACAGTAGCAGCACTATGTTGAGAATTGCTCTTTCCCTGCCTTATACAGCTCGRCATTACTTCAGGGATGCTTACCCAAACTGGCTGTGCAGCAGCAGAGTAACTGCACTCACAAAAAAACTGACATAAAATGGGATTTTTTATTTTCTCGCACACATTCTTTTTCTAAACCTGGATCATTTCAACCGCCTTGTTTGCCATATAGCTGTACAAACAATTACACCATTCCAAACAAGTGAGGAGGTAAAAATAARGAATGTGAACAAACAACTAGGCTTAGGTTATGATTTTTAAGCTCCCCAAAGCAAGCACATTGTCAAAACCACACCAAAAAGCCTGACTACTCACATGCAAGTTATATGATTCTCTAAGTGACCCTGCGTGAGCAGGGGRGTTGGACTAGAYGACCTCCGAGGTCCCTTCCAACCTTAAGCATTCTATGATTCATACTAGAGTTACGCTTTGAAGGACTGAAAGACTGTCTTCGAAACATGCATCAGTGTGTGCCTACAGCTCACACAGCTTATTCTCATTCAACTTTTACAAAATAATGGAGATTTAAGGCTAATAAACCCGAAAATTCTATGTTAGTGTAAAGTCTTTAAACAACATAGCTATAAATCTTAACTAAATAGTAATACTTACTGTATATAAACTTTCCTGTGTTGAATAAAAAGTTAGACATCAGCACCCAGTAAACTACCATGGCTCCAACAAGTGACACCATAGAAAACAAGAGGCTTGACCACTGACCAAAGGATCCAAAATAATATTTGCAAACATCTGGAAATTCCCAGTGTGAGGTATCTATTAAAGCTGAAGAAAATATAAAAAAAGAAGATATATAAGAAAGTAAACATTTCTAAATAAAAAACTGCATTAAAGATTTAGATATCACAACTCTTCATAATAGGATTTTTTTTGTCATGAGATTATTCTGACACTAACTCACAGTGCTTCTTCACTAACTTTAAAGGATAACGCTTGTCAGGAAACACTGGTCTGTTCCATTATTGCTGGATGCCACAAAATGTCTTTTCAACAACGCAACTACATTTAAAGTAGTATTACTGTCAGCAAGGCAACTGCCATAAACTGCATCCAACGCCATATGCAGAGCACACAGATGCAGTCAGTTGTACACATTTTAGGGACAGCAGCATTGCAGCTTTAATGCAGCTAAATAATGACTTGTTCCTTTTATACAGGAACAGGCTTGGACATTTTTATCTTTGCTATACACAAGCTCCAGGGTAATCCAAACCACAGAGGTGGATGCAGCTATTGCGCATGCTCTCCTGCTATAGGAAATGCTCAGAAATGCACAGAGMGCTGGACAGTGCTAATGGAAAGACAATGGGAACTCATAACTCAATCTCTAAGCACTTAGTAAATGAGGTGTCTTAAAAACAAGAATAATCCAACAAGAGAAGACAATACATTTRATTTGCAGAGATTAGATGCAGATTCCCAAAGCGGTGACAACCAAACAAACAGCTTTTACCCTTATTAGGGGGTCAGGTAAGTAGAAGGACAAAAAAACAAACAAAAAATCTCTTAGATGTCTAGATTTCTCACTTAATGGAAATGTTTGCATTATGAAACTTTGTATTTCTTACGTATCATTTTCCGTGATTTCACAACTCTGTAACAGCAATAAAGCGTCAAAATGCCCATCAATAAGATGAGAAGGATTCCAGAAGTAAAGCCGGCCTGTTAAGAGGGAAAAATATGGTTTATCTCATTCATCAATAAYACTACAGACAGTAGCAAGCCAGAAAACATTTTCATAAGCACATTTTTTTCCTAGTTTTACCTGTTTTATTCCCCATGGGATACTTAATATAGATGTACCCATCATTGTATTCCATATCATAAATCTATTAAGAAAAGAAAATAGGCAGTGAGTGACTTAAGCAGCACTCCTATTTCACACCATCCTCTCAGCTAAAATAAGCATGCAATACAGTACGTTCAGAATAATGTATTTTCTGGCTATTATATGCAAAGGTGCTTAACATACATTGTCACTATACTGGAGTTTTTACCATGGCCATCTGTGCAACTGTCAATTTTAAAAGCAGTTCCTAATGGACTGTACACATAGATTTCATCAGGTGCTGGAAGTACATGATCAGGAGCAATCTGAAAATGGATAAAAAAAGATAAAGAATTACTAGCAATGTCAGAATAACTRTTGTCCCAATTTACAGCAAAGTCAACTGGTGCCAAACATAAAATCTTCCCACACAACAGTGTTTTTAAAGAAACAATGTTGAATTGTACTACTTTTCAACCCATAAAAGACAGTTACCAAAATTCCAAGCTGGGTAGCAGAAAATGAGATTTCCTTCTGCAAAGCATCTCTAGTGTACTATACACAGACCCTGCACGTTCAGCCATTCACTCACAGACAACAGGAGTGAATTCACATGTTCGGACAGTCTGGACAACTGCTGTGAAAGTCAAATTTTTGTATCTTTCTTTTGGAGAATGAARATATTGCACAAGAAGTCAACCAATACTTCTGGTAAGACAAAACCTCATTCTGGCCTCAGGTACTAGATACTTGAAAACAAGCTGTAGAACGATTYTCCCCCTACATCTATTTGTGTTTCTTTTATACATCTAAGCTGTGCAAGATGCAAYGTGCCAGAAACCACTCAGCTAATCTGGCCTTGTCTTTCCTTACCAGAGCCCTGTGTGTAGGAGAGGCAAGCCTGCTGTAGTAATGAATCCTCTTATTCATTGCTGAAGCTTCATCAGTGACTCTTTGTGTGTCATCATTCACGCTGACTATGTTTGTAGGCTCTACATGGAATGGCCTGAAGAAGAGAAAATAAAAAACATCAAAAACCTGACAACACTAAAGCTAACACACAAATCAAGGAACGTTTAAACAACATTCAGGATGAATCTGTCATTYGCTAACACAAAGCAAATGCAAAAAYATCACTGCCATGAGAGAAATTACTATCCATGAGYGAACGTGTTTACATTGTCCTTATTAAAAGGACTTCTTACCCAGATTCTGTCGGGCAACTTAACACCAAAATCGAGATCTAATATCCAGTCTACTAGTTCTCAACCATGAGTCACACCAAAACTACGTGTTAATAGGCTTGGCCAAGCTTATTAGTGTTTAGAACTGGCGCTGCCAAAGCTAGCGATGAGGAGCAGAGGTAGAAACAGGAGGCGTGAAAATGACGAGGCAAAAAATGGCACAGAGCACAAGACGAATGAGGGGTGGCAGTGAGGACTCACTGCAACAGGGCTGGGAGCTGCGAGCACAGCCAAAACCACTGTATCAAACGGGGAGAGCACCAAGCCAAATCAGCCAGTGCTTTTGCTATATTTAAGCCAGTGTAAACAAGAACAGAATTTGGCACAGATCACTGAACAACTGTGGTCCATTTTCTAGTTCCCATGATTTCCTCAAAATTTCACTTCAAATTTAATTATAATAACCACACAGAACGTTGGTCAGAAAATCCATCATTTGGAGATGTACAGAATTAGTTGGTCTCCCTCCACTCTTCTCTACTTGAAAAGCAGACTGCAGGCAGGGAGTGTAGTAGCCACTGCAGGAGACTGCAACTCCGCAGACCCTGTTTGCTTTGCATACACACACATACACACACAGCACGCAGAGGGAAAGCGGGCCTTGTCTGCACGTTGCTCCTCAATGTGTAGAACCATATAAATTGAGCTCCATGCAAGAGGTCCTAACAGCGAAATTCAATCTCAGTTAGGATATTGCAATTAATATTTTTAAGAAATTTCATTTATTTGTGCATACGCATACTGTACTGAGGCATTAATTTCAGCCCCAAGAGGCTTATTTTCCCCGAAACAGAAAGCATACCGATGATCTGCAATGCCTTGATATCCTTACTTTTCCCTTTCACTAGGTCTTTAATTCCTAAAGCAATCCCAAGAGTATTCTGATCTTCTTATTAGCAACAGCTGTTTAAATCACTTGGCAACAAGAATCACTAAACTAGAACCCACAAAAACATACTGCAACCAAGTTTCAGGCCACCGCCAGCAGAAACTAAGGCTGCAATGAATCCAGGTTGTTTTTCCTGCAGTAAGCGCAAAAACCTATTTGAACTGACTGCTTTTCAATCCCCATTTCTGGCTCTGACTACAAAGGAAGTTGGCCAGCTCCTCCTGCCACAGCTTTCAAAAACACAACAATCTCTTCCTAGATCTGGGATACCATTTTCTCCTGGCAAAGGTCTCATTCTCCTTCCTAGTGAATCATTAAAACGTGGTGTCAAAGTGCAAATGCTTATCTGGAATTAAGCAAAGGAATAAACCTCTGAAGCTCTTTGTGGCATCTATTCAAGACAGGAAGCTGAATCCTCAAGCTTTAGCATGAGGGCCTCACTTGTGTGTGCTTAACAGGTGTGCAACTCGCTTAAACTGACAATAAAAATAACTTGCTTCCACACAAGTTAGAGTAATTCATTCTTTCCACCATCTCAGACTTCACTAATTCTTACATCCTTCTTCTCCAGAAAATAAATTTTTCTAAGTCATTTCCCACACACTAMGGAGAAATGAATACATTTTTTAATTTAAAAAAATATTCCAGATTGATACTTTTCTTTGTATGTCAATGAGAATAAGGAAGAAAAGCTGATTTTATGTGGGGGCCTCTGGAGTGCTCCTACATATAATTAGGAGAAGAGATAACTACAGTACTAAAACTATAGTTTAAAATTTAATTCTACAGCACACCAGCTTATTCCACTTACAGGGAGCAGATAGAAATACTCAAGGACTGCCAGCTYCAAGGAACTTTGTTTTATTTCAAAACTTTTGGGGCTGTTCCAATAATACTCGACACTGCAACTGGCCTGCTGAAAAACATTTTGCTAAAAGAGCTGTAAAATCAAGATCGAAGTGATAGAGAGAAGCTGCAATATGTCCAAATGGCTCCCACTCATGGGCTTTCTGCTGGTTGTTTTTTTTTTTTTTTTGTTTAGTTTTCTTAAATCACTGTAATCTCTGGCATGTAGAATCACATTATATTCAGAACATTACAAGTATTTGCCATTTATACATCAGTAGCATTTATACACTGCACCAGCAGTGTAAAGTGCTTCATGAGGAGGGCCTCTCCCCATTGAGACTGTGCTAACAGTACAAGGCCTAAATCCTCCAATGCTAGTGTGGGAAAATTACACTTTGTGAAAAAAACAGGGTGTATTTTTTTTTCCAAAGTTTTTATTTTGCTCAAAGATAGGAAAACTGTGGCAAGAATTTCCTTTGGAAATGGTATTTAACAACTGTTGACATGATGTTAACACCTTTCTAGATGGTGAGTGGAAAACTATTTTTTAAAGCAATGGACGGACTTACTGAGCAGAAAATGTGAATTTGGCATCTTATTTTATGGGGAAAGTAGTGTCATTAATCCAAGTCTAAAGAAATATGATCTTCAGGATACAAAAATTGATGTGTAGCAAAAAATACAAATATCCATCTGCACCTGGAAATTTTTAGAAGAAAAAAATGTTTTCTTCAGCAGCATGAACATGGTCTGAACTGAACAAACAAATTAATGTTGCAGTAAAAAACATGAAGGTATAATTCAGTCTTGTTTATGAGTGAAGGAAAACAAACAAACCATAAAACAAGAAAGAACCAGCCCCAGAGGCATTCTATTTATGTGTTTATCTGTTGCTGTTGCTTCCTGCCTAAGGAGCTCCCATTTAATGCTAATAGGGCTTGGGCTGCTTCCCCCCTCACTCCCCAGAAGCAACTACTGAGAATGATAATGATCTAAAGGAGTAATTAGAGAGGCAGGGCAGGAATTTGTTTTTCCAAAGCATTACTGGACAAGCCATTGTGCTTAAATAGATCTTGTCCTCTTTGGGTTTCTGATTGCTAGAGATGCCGTTGAAAGCTCCAGCCTGGCTCACAAGTCACGCGGACACACTGGAATTCAAGCAGCCTCTGTGGGCCTCTCCTCAGACAGCAGCACCTGTCTAGGAGGATGGAGGCCACTTTGTGGTCTCCCAGCTGTGCTCAGCTCAGACACTGGCTGTAGGGCAGATTCGTCCATCTGTCCATCCATCTGAGTAGCCCTCAGAGGTTACCTTKAGATGCAGCCCAAACTGCAGCCTGGCTGCTTTGGGCTCTATTTCCTGAAACWCTCTCCAGAGACTTCGAGTCTAACAGCCAAACACTTGGTCCACGCAAGGATCCAGATCCACAGAAAACTGCTTTTCACGCTGGCAATCACAGGAGACACTCATAAGGGCAGGGGAAACATAAAGAAGGTGAGCGACAGTGCAAACTGAAGAAAGAGTTTGTATGGCTGGAGAGTGTGAATATTAATACAGAACAGTGCAAACCACCCCTGTGCATTGAGAGAGAACACAGAGGGCAATTCATTTGCTAAATCTATACAAAGAAACACAACTACAATTTATATTTCTATGGCTAACGTGTGTAACAATGCTCTTTTACTAAGGCAAAACACTAGTGTTTTCCACAGCACAGCGGGTATGGGCAAGATGCAAGAGGTTCTCTGGTCTCCCCGACAGAGGAGCGCAGAACAGAAAAAGGGAGGCTGCGGTTTGACCAGGAAAAGGGAGGCTGGCGTTTCTGGCCATCAGGAACTTGGGCTATGGCTTTTGCAAGCCATACTGCATATGGCACAGAAGAAACTGATCAAGAAGCAATTTTTTTTTTTTTTAATCACTGAAAGTAAAGTATGATAACATAAAACAAAAGTATTTCATAGTCAAGTAGTGCCTATCTAGATAGAGGAACATCAGAGATTTTAGAGAGCTTAGCTAGAGGAAACCWGCTCCCCCCCATCCCCTAAAAAAGCCTTTGCTTTTCTGCTTTSTAAGCTGTATAATTCTACATAAGGATCATTTACATAAGCTTACACTATATCCTATGTCTTTGCTCCCTTAGCTACACCTTTTACTTGCACCTTTTCCATAGCTATAACTCCATTATCATTACTACCCTTTGAGTAGGACCATGCAATATTTTAAAATACCTGATGGTTGCAAAACCAAAATAATCTTCCAGAACATAAGGCTAAGTCATCTCTGATGCTCACAGGATACATGTTCTGGATGACAACTAAGGAATCACAAGCTTGAAGAAATGAAGAGAGAAACTAAAAAGTCCGCACGGGTTTAACTACACTGAATGGAGAAACTGCAGCTACTACCCAGGTCAGTCCCTACCACTGTCAGCTCTTTATTAAGACAACTTGGAGAATAAAAGCRAGCCTCTTTTGAATGAAAAAAGGCTTTCCTGACTGCCATCTACAGGCATGGGTATCTTTAATTTCACTTACTGATCTCTCCTATATTGTGTAAGAACATTATGTGAACTTCTAGGAGAACAGAGGGGAAAAAAGGAAGGTGGCTTGTTCCCCCTTGAGCAAGGGGCATTGAGTTTCTTCATATGCAAGAAAACACAAAACACCCTTCCTCTCTGTAAAGGTCCCAGTATTCTTGAAAACAATCAGAGCATCCGTTGACATTGAGACTTATTTAAGGAGCAGGAAGAAGCAAAAGGAAACCAGTAAAAAACAAACAAACAAACAAAAAAAAAACCAACAAAAAAACCCCACTTCCCTCTCTTAAATACAATAAGACTCAATAAGTCAATGCAGCAATGACATTCTTGCTTAAGACCACCTACAAAACAGACAAAACACACCTAAAGTACCGTGAGTTAACTGGGGTCCTTGGGCATTGTGAAGATCAATAACATCCACTTTAAGAGGATTAGAAGAGTTTATATATTCCCCAAATTTGCAGAATACTAGACAAAAAGAATTTACAACTCTAAAGTACAATTAGCTCATTGTTCCTATATAAATACCGAGGCCTTTCAAAAATCCTAACCCTTCCAAGGTGTTAACAAAAGCAGATGACTGTGGAAGCCTGAGTCAAAGCTAAAAGAACTCGAAAGAAACAAACAGCACCAAGAAACATAAAGATTATAAAAATCCACACAAAACACTTCAACACCAAAGCACAATAAGGATGCTGTGATCATGGTTTCTAAAGAGCAGGTTAAAAAGGGAGCAAACTAAGCAGACCATTTTATCTACCACTGCACTTGCACTACTTCGGTAGTTTTATACAAGATAATCTATGAGCAGTAACTCCCTATAGCACCRGTGAACAAGCCCCCTCCTGTATATTCTATATTTCTGCTCTTTGTACTTCTGAAGCCACAACTGAGCAAATCCTCATGATCRGTTCTCCATTCTTGTTTATAAAGATTATGCTGCCTCCTCCTAACACACAGAGTTGGAGTTTAGCCTTGTTTGGCACCACCCTATGATTTCCATGCCTTCCTTATATCCCAGCCCTATGTCCTTCATCTTTGAGCCTTGGGACACTTGGAAAAGCAAAAACTAGGCACTTCCATATCACAAARGTGATAACTTCTCTTGACACCGGTTTATTCTGATATACCTCACAGCCACCCTTCCAGGACCCAACGCATGCAGCCCCTGACACAAGCAGCTCCTCCAAACCACATGAATTAGCAAGCCTATGATGCCAAGTAGACCACTGAGGGGTTCAGACACTCTTCAGGGACAAGATAAAACAAGAATTCCTTTTGTCCCCTTCCTTTTCCCATCTCAGAGTACTCTGTATTGTATGCTCTTTGCATACACAAATCTGTGCAGGCCTAAACCCAAACTGCCTTTTCCTCCCTGGCCAACTGAGGTCCTTGCTTTCCTACTTGTCATTTTGCTTTCACAGGCAGATGACAAATTGTTTAGCCCCTGTTTAACCTGGAAGAAATCTCTCAAGATTTGCTAAAGCTGCAGGCTGAGACAGCAGAAAAAAAACTCTCCCTTCTGCCCAAGAGTCGGTCAGCTAAAGGATTTGAGATGCAACATTGCCATCTGCAGCTCATTGAGGAAAATTGCACCTCTGAAATGTGGAGCTGGCTGAAAAAGGGAAAACAAGGAGCATGAAAAGCTCCAAGAGGCAACAAGAGTCTGTTTCTTCATCTAACAATGCAGAGTTGGTGCCTTTAGCTAACATGAAGAGGGAAGTCCTTTTAGATCTGAGATTTTGTTCCTGGACCAGCAAATGCTCACAGAAATCCCACCTGCAATAGCAGAGAGAATCCCACGCAGAGCTCCTTTGGGGAATAGAGTTGATAAATTTCAAGGAAAAATTTAATACTAGAGTTTGGCTAGATACATATTGTTTCTGCAGGCAAGGTTGTCATTTCTCATGCTTGCTCCAATTCAAAGAATTGTCTCAAGGCAATGAAGGTCACTACTTCCATACTATTAGCAAAAAAAAGATTTTCCCAGTATCACCTGCAGAATGCACACAGGGTCGGGTGCCTACATAGTCTGGAAAGCTTTCTTGCACACACAACACTTTGTTGTGCGACACCCCAAAACATCATGCTTCAGCATGCATCCCTTATATTTTCTCAGTCTTTGAAAAACATTTTAAAAGGCACATGTCAACTTCTTATGAAGTCACTGTCCCCAATGTGATATCCAAAGAAAAGCCTCTTCCTTAAAACCAGAAAATAAACACATCTGTTCTTCCGGTGCTGACAAATAACATCACAAAGAGAAAGCAGGAACTCTTTGTATCCAGATAGTTCTCTGTGTCCCAACTTCTATCTATCTCTATAGAGAGAATGAATGCAAAGATTAACAACTCATTGCTATATAACCACTTTGCATGGTAGTTGCATGGTGCACTTGCTCAGCCTTCCTCATACCTTTTGCATTTAAAATCTTCTGGATTAAACTGTATATTCATGATTCCATAATTGCTCTCATCACCTCCCACAGGAATCAGAAGAGGTTTGGTATCTTCTTCCATGCTTAAAGAATATGCTTCTTTCAGAGTCTGACAGTTATTTTGACCTARAGAAAGAAAATGAGACAATTACAGTTAAGTAAGACCATGTATCTGCTGTGAACTTAGAACAGGCAGAATCCCATAGCACCACAAGATCCTGGGTAAAAGCACTCACAAAAATTACTTCAACTTGCCATTCTTATTCCACAATGTAAACATAGGTCAGGCACAGCAGTGACAACACTTTTATGACATCCTGCCCATTTAAGTGCACGCTGTACTACTGTGTTCTCAATTTCTTTTCAATACTGCAACAGTCATTACAAGTTCAAGGACTATGATGTATGCTGCAGTTTATACTGAAGTCAGACAGGTTTGCAACAAAGGAGGCTGAGAAATCAAGTTTTCTCTGAGCTGAGAATCAAGTCCATCATGTGCAAAGTAATGTTAAGTRTATTCATAGGTAGGTGTTGTCTCACAGCATTTCCAATGCTGCATGCATCAGTGGAAGACCATGGATTTTTAAAGTAAGCATTTCCAATTTTTAGTAGTACCCCTGAGAAGTTTGCCACGGTTACTACAGATGGCAGTTTCATTCAATTAATTCAAACATTGCAAAAAATACATAGGGAGTTTTCTGGCATAGTTCCCACAGAAAGGATAAGACTATAGCAGTCTACCATGCTCAGTCTCCTTGAATCAAAGGCAAGGATCTGTTTAATCACACACTGGTAATAATGTTTTAGGTGCCTTCAGAGCACTMTTGTCAAAACACTAGGGAGCAGCCTGCTTTTACATGGATGGGAGTTGACTTCCATGCCCTGGATTGAGGCATGTAACTCCCTGTGTGCTATATGCAGCTCAACAAATATAARGGCTTTAACAGTTCTCAGCCCTGCTACCTCCCAAAGAATTCCTAAGCCGGGACTCCTTCAACCAAAACCAGCAGAAAAGTATCTGCTTTTCAGAGACAGTTTCCTGATGCCTTAGTAAGTTAGTCAGCCTGATGGAGCGTTTGATGAGAAACAGAGCTGGCACAAGATAATTAAAGGACGTTTCCAGCCTGAGGTGGGGATGGATGAAAGCTGACGAATGGGATCTGTATTAGCCTTTTGCATCCTCATGGCAACAACCCAAAGGAACAATCCACAAACTACATCAACCTAAGCACTCTATCCTCCTCCCTCTTTCTAGCTACCTGTTCCCATTTTTCTTGCATTTGTTCATCCCACTAATGCCTCTGGCAAAAACCCAAGAACCTGAGGGAAAGAAAAAAGGGAAGGGAAAAGAAAAATAAAACAGAAAGCGGAAGAGAGGAAAGAAGGCTAACAGCTTTCAACTGGGGTCCAACATTTGCTGGGGGAAAGGAGAAACAGGAACACTGATTAAGGCAGGATCCACAGAAGCACTACGGCTGACTCAGACCATGAGGGAACTGCATTTTAGAGTAGGGGTCCACAACAGGTACTGAGCACACGTCAGAAGCTCTAGGCTGTCAAGAGGGGATCTCTTGAGGTCGCACAAATGCCGCTGAAAGAACTAGTCTTGTCCCTRCCAACACAAGCACTTTGTGCAATCCTAGACTGGATTAAGAACACCAATTCAGATGAACAGTGGCTATTCCTTCCCCTGCTTTAAAGCTCATCACCTCTGAGGCTGCCTGGCTGTGTGCGCTTGCTCGTGTGCCTGTGCAGAGGGCATGGTGCAGGAGTGAAGCCGTTTCTCCTGGCAGCGCAGCCAGTGCCTGTCTGCTTGCAGCATCCCCGGGCTGCAGCCCAAGGCACAAGGGACTGGGATAGCGCTGTTAAGCTCAGAGATGCATAATTTTGTCTTGTTCCTTTTAGTTCCTTAATGGAGCATAACAAGCAATCAGTGACAGTAAGTCAAGCAACCATACAGCCTTCCTTGCTCTCGCTGACAGCATCATCTTCCTTTAGCACTTCTTTCACACTCTGCAAAGCCCTTTTCAGCTCCTCTTCCCTGAGCATCCTGGTAGGCAGTAGYGGGAGGAGACAGGGAAGTTTCTTATACCTAAATTAACTTACTGCTTCCCTTCTTCTGYCATCCTAGCCCTTCATTAAAATATCAGTTCATACTCTTTACTCTTAAGCCTTTTCTTTCCACATCACCATTCCTGGCTCTTTGGCCTCTGATTCCTTGCTCAACATTCTCTTCTCTCAGCTCCTCTGCTGACTATTTTCTCATTCCTACTTCTCATTTTCTATCTTCGGTCTCTCCCTCAGCCAATGACCTGAAAGAAAACCATGGACCCTGGAAATTTTGCTCAGTTACAGCTAGCCTCCTAGTCCTCAGCCATTCCCATTATCCTTACAAAAAACTCCAAATTCTCTCTCACTGAACCTAAAGACAATAGTCTTTACTCCTGATCATCATCCTTTGGATTGAAACATTAAAAAGCAGATTAAGGTTCAAATCTCTAAGGGGGCAGAACTGAAACTAGCAATGAATTCCAATGTCAAACATTCAGAAATCTTTTGGTCGCCATTTTCCAGAAGATTGAGGTACTCAAATCCCTTCCTTTCACAGGCCCAGTTTATGCTGCAAATTAAGCAGATATTAAATGCTAATTTAAGCTTCCACTTTGAATCCATCCCTTTCTGAAAGCCTGATGTAAATGATGTATTTGTACTTTACAATTCAATATGACAAACACAGCCAACACTGTTCACTAGTTTTGATTTTCTCTGCACTGTGGTTATGAATAAAGAAATCAGATATTCTATATTCTACAATATTCTACAGAGAAAAGCAACTTTGCCAAGATACAGACTACATTAAGTCTGGCTTGATAGCAAGAATTGGGTGTGATGGAGTTGTTGCTCAWTTGCTTCCTACGGTTCAGGTAAAAGCATTTGTGAAGACAGTTTATTTTAAATGCTTATTTGGAGACAGCAGATATGTGAAGGTTGCAACCAGTAAATTAATGACTTTACATAAGACATAGATACTATGTAAGTAAAGGCTATTGCTAGAACTGGCACAGCTTAAAATAAAATTGTAGGCAAAAGAGCAAAGTGAACAAAAAGGAGCCTGGATAATCTTCCTYTTCTCAAATTTCTAGTCCTTTTGGGCTCATTAACTACATTTAGTGGAGCCAGCTACACTATCTGGACTTATTGCCTAACACTTTCCATTACAAAGCCTCTTTTAATCTGCTTATTTTGCTAGTGTCCTGATTACCTGAAATTTTTATGCTGACGCCCACCCCATTCTGGAAAAAAAAAATCAGGTGAAAAGTTATTTGAAAAACAGTTAACAACAGTTTGGATAACAAAACGTTACAGCTTTGAATTTTAGCACAAATGAGGCCTTTTTTTTTTTTTTTAAGGAATATTGGAGAAAATAACAATTAAAATTCAAGTCTCATGTTATAACCTTTGCAAACATAGACCAGTAAAGGAATCTCCCTCTTGGGAGGGATACAGTGAATTGGGATTGCTGCAAGGCAGTAGAAGAGAGAAAAAAATTAGAGTCTCAAGAGGAAAACTGCATCAGCAAGTAGAAGAAAAGAAGAGTCGGTAGAAATGCAAGTGGCTATGAAGACAGACCAACTCTYTAACTCCATGACAGTTTAAGTCAACCTAATTTGGGGTAGCTATAGCTCTGCTCCTTTCCCTAACTGGATATTTTCACTCTCCCTTACACTGGACCTGCAGTCAGCCTGAAAAAATCAAAGCCCTTTCAGTCTCTGACAGTGCTCATGTATAACACCAGTGACAGAACAGCAATGCATGGCTGTGGGGACAAGAATTTTAACTGCTATTTCAATTTAAATGGCTATACAGTTTTTACAGCAGTTTAAACAGCTAAACAACACTTGGAAAGAGACCAGCTCTAAGTTAAGATGCCTCAGTGCTAAACATTGTTACCAAGTAAACCAAGTTGCACAAAATGAGGCAGGTCTGGAGGAGGGAGAGAAAAAAAAAAAAAAAAAGAGAGAGAGAGAGAGAACTTTGTCATTCTCTCTCTCTTTTTTTTCTTTCTGGTGTGTGCATGGCATTTGTTTGTTTTGTGTTGGTGCAGTGAACCGGACTGGGGCCGGATCTGACTGGAGGGAAACAACCAACCAACCAACCTATAGAGGAAGATAATTGTTTAAAACTGTCTGGATTCTCTGGGTTGTAGTTGTGCAGCACCTGCAATTTCACTGCTTGGTTTGTCGGGGGAAGGGACAGAAGTGCTGAACAGCTTAAAACCACAGTCTGGACTCCTGCCTCTAACAGTATAGTCCCGTTTCTTTTTTTTTTYCCCCCCCTTCTGCACAGGAACTAATTTGCTTTGCACTGCAAAATGAAATAGTATTGTGCACTGCTCAGTGTGGCTTAGTTACAGGCATGTACATATCAATTTTTAAAGACAAAATATCCATCTTTACAAATTAATGTAATGAGATGGACTTAAGCCTAGAACACATAAGAGGCTGACCAAATAGGTTTATTACATAGTAGGAACAAAATTGTTTTCAGCTGGTCAGTCATCCTAATGACTCTACAAGCATAGATTTCACTTAGTGGTTTGCAGAATTGCTGTCTAATCAGAAAACTGGTACAGGTATACAGGGAAGGGGGAAGAAAGCAGAAAGGGGAGCAACCACCATAAATTCTAGTGAATCATCACAGGTACATTGCAACTGGAAATGACACTAAAAAAGAGCAGGTGAAGCTCTGAGAATTTATACTACAATTTTATATTACTAAAGTTGAAGTTTATGCACAGCAGCTGACAGTAGTTTTGTAACAAATCCTTAATGCAGGAGACAATTACCCTTCACAGGCAAAACAAAACCAAAAAAGATGTACCAAAACAGAGGATCACAGAACCAAGGCCAACTATACCTTGATACTTTTTGATTGAAACTTGGTATCTGTTTTATTGCAGCTACAACCTTGTGTGTGTGTGTGTGTGTGTGTGTGTGTGTGTGTGTGTGTGTGTGTGTGTATTTCTACAGGTTCTACATGGCTATCTTCCAGTCAACTAGATTACACACAGAAAAAGATATGACATGTTAAATTGCAGACTTCTACTTCTAAAACTTCACACCCACAAGCAGCAAATGAAAATATTCGGTCAGAATCAGCAAAATGAAAAAAAAAAAAACCAACTGCAACCCAGTGTGACCTGGTCTTCCGTTAAATTCCGAACAGATGGATAAAGCTCAACGCATAAATCCTAAGTAAACTGCAGAAAGATGGCTGTGCACAAAAAGTCATGGGAAGTGAGCAGGCTCTGCACTGAATAACAGGAAGCCTGAAGTAGGACAGAAGAGTCCACAAGTTCCTTTTAGGAAGAAATGATCCCTTCATGAGTGAACATAGCAGACTGCTATACAGCTTTTGAAGTAGTATTTTTAAATTTATACTTACAGGTAGTATTTTTGAGCYTCCTTAAAGCTGTGACAATTTGACCAGTTACCCTGTCCATAAGTTCCCATAACTAATTGTAGCAGGCTGAGAATGATTAAAGCTGCTGCAGTTTTATATATAAAAGTTAATAATTTACACTGCTATATTCTGAGCACATGGGCACAAGAACCTCAGAAATATGGGGATACAATGCAAATAGTGAGACACCCACAGAAAAACAGCTGAATGGTGGATGGTCCCTGTAAAGATTAAGGGCAGATGAAAGTTTGAATGTCCCTCCCTGGGCTACAGCAGCAGAGGCGATGCCAACAGCATCTCTGCACACTCCTGTTCCTGGAGACAGGCTCTCACATAGGCCATGCCTGCTCGTGGTAGGGGTCAGGTGATAAATCTATGATTAAAAAGAACGCAGAACAACAGTTTGATTTAACAGACAAAAACTCAGTCTACTCTTACAGAATCTCACACAAAACAACGACAAAGGAAGTCTAATATAAGKAGCTATAGTAAACAAAACTATCCTAGGGATTAATTTACATTTTTACCACCGTTTTTCCTAGCTGAACGGATCCTTACACTCAGTACTATTGCTGTGAGGCTGCCCACAAGCCCTCTGACGGATGAGCGTCCCAGAGCGCTGCAAGCCAGCCCGGGGCCGGGAAAACGCCGTGATTTGAGTCGTTTCCCCCAGTTAACACGTGAGGCCGCCGGTCCCCGCGGGGTGCCGCGGAGTCCCCGGGGCGCGGCGCGGCCCTCGCCCCCTCCCCGGCGCGGCGCGGCCCAGGCCCCGCGGAGCCGCTCGCGGAGCTCGGCTACTCTACCTGCAGCACAGGCCCCTCCGCAGGAAACAGGAAGCGCGGGCGGGGCGGCGCGGGGCACGCCGGGACGCGTAGTTCCGYAGGGAGCCCTGCGGCAGGAGCGCCGACGTTCCCGCTCACGGAAACACCCGACCGAACGGGACGCGCCTCGAAACTCGTCCCGGGCAGCAGCTGCGCTGCCTACTGGCCGGCTCTGCACGCTGCACAAGCACAGACATAAACATTGCAAACAAAATTCACTATTTTAATTATCTCTTTTTTTTTTTTCCTCCCCACCCCTAACTCAAGCTGTAACACGCCCTTTTGACAGTGGAGATCCTCTTAAAGTCTGCAAGATTCTAGGAATATTTATAGCTCATGCATGGGAAAATCAAATCACTGAATTGTCTGCAAGCATGACAGTAAAGGTAGCTTCATTACATGCTGAAGCAACTGCAAAACCAACTAGACAGGAATCCCAAACCCTACTTTCTTTCAGGCGCAGCCCCAAACATTGCGTGACTCGCAGTGAGACTATTCAGTCAATAAAACTGCTGTGTAATCTGAACTTCAAACTGTGGGAGGAAATGAAATAACGGAGACCAGGCATCCTGAAATTCAGACCAATTAACTTTTTTGCCTTTCCTACCAACATCCAGATTTCCTAATAAATCTCTAGATTTTTTTTCCAATATATACTGATAATGTATTAAAAAAAAGCATTTAAATTGTAAGTGCCATTATGTGCCATCTTGTTCATGGATGAAGTATACCTTCTATATAAAAGCAACAAGCTTCCTGTCAGTGTAATTGAAATTTTAATAGTTTAATCATTATTAGTCCAAATCTGTTACACACACACAAAAAAAATTGTTATATTCACTTCCTAGTTTCCACTCTGTTTCCTGGATTATACTTACCCTTTTACTGCTCCCCTAAGTCCTAAGGGTGGTGGTTTTGCCCTGACAGTACAAAACTTCCAACTTACAGCAAGTTGGAAGCCGCTTGAATCCTCTCTGGGAAGTATGATATTCATGTTGTTTTTTCTTCTTCCTCACTCCAGGATCCACTTGGAATTTTTTCTTTACTTCATGTTTACTACCTATAGTGTTTTTACATAGGTGAAATAGTACTTCCTGAAAGCAGCTGTGCCCTGCTCCAGGTCTGCCTTTCTTTAACCACAACGAATTGTTTTCAGCCTCCAGCATCAGCCTGCTCCTCATCTCTAATCATCCCATCCTACACTTCTCTACCCTGCATCCTGTGCCAGAACTTCCCAAATCATCTGGTATCAAACTAGGCCTGTATTTCACCATACTGCATTGTGTTAGTCATAAATACTTCATCCTACATAGAATAACTGCTTGTTACTGCAAGAAGTTATCTTTGTAACAGTTCCACCACACACACAGGTGACGAAAGAAAAATAAATGAGCCACACACACCTGGTCAATTAGAAAAACTGCAGTCACAGCTAAACCCAGAAAAAGAAAGAAGCTGGCAGGTGAAAAAAAACTTCAGAAAGACCAAGCCTGACAAACCTCAGTTCTGAGGCCTTGCAAATTCAGTACAGAGATAATAGCTTGTTATTTGGAATGCCGATACCATATGACTAGGCTACCTCCTTGCAGTTGAGTCTTTGATCATGCAGGGTAACACTTTCCGGCAGGCATATAAACTCTAGTTGCAAGATTGCAAGATATTGCTTTTGATTTGGAAACCTCACCGACTACAAAGAGGAAAAATATTCTAAAATATTTGTATTCTCATGATAATATCTATGAGAGGTCACTATAGCGTGCCATCATGCTATAGTGGGTAATGTTAATAGCAGGTAAATGTTAATGCAACCTCTTTAATAAACATATATATGTTGTGGTAACAAAAAGCTGAAAAAGCTCATACAGCAGAGTGCTGGAAAGTCTTTATGATCTCTTCAAATTTATTATTAATCTTATTTTTTTTCTCTTTAATCAGTAATAAACATCACTGAAAACATTTCTAAATGTTTAGCTAAAACATTTAAGAAGAGAAATTGAACTGAATGTTTATTCCTTGCAATTACAGTTAGAAACAAGATGAATCAGTAAGTGTTATGGGGCTCACATTTTTTTCTTGTTCACAAACAAGTATTTGGATGCTTCTACGAAAAAAAGCTAGATATGCAACTATGGATGAAACTTTTCACTAGCTCTACATTGCTGCATCAAGTATTTTGAAACATAGATAAAACCTATGCATGAGTTAACATGTAAAGAGAAGGGAAATAAGCAAATCAAAGATGTGATTGTTGGATGCCAGCTCTTCTTCCAGGTAATGCAAGGCATTTATTAGCACGTAGCTCAGGGGGAATATATCACACAAAATAATCAGGTTTCAGACTGATTTTTATCCCAATTGCCTGGGGAAACAGAAAATCATGCTCCTACCTTGAGTAACAAAAATAAAATTCAGGTATTTTATGAAAGGTTTTACTAGAGATATACATAAGAAAAGCAGTAAAAGCTTCAAACAGGATAGATCTGCACTTTATTATAACACAGTTTTAAATAAACTCTGAGGTAAAAAGCATTCAGCACAACCTGGGTACTGTCCTGATGTCCCCAAGAAAGGAGCATCTGTAAAGGTTAAGTCTTAATCAAGAGGGAATAAGGTGTGAGTAATGAGTTTTACTTCAGAAACCCCTCTTCAACAACTCCTCTCAGCAGCAGCATTTGCTTTACTGTTGTCCAAAGCCCCTATGAAACATTCAGATATTCACTGCAAAGTTACAGAAAAGGCAACTCTCTCTGCCACAGCAAAGAAGTTCCCAGAAAGGCACACAGCTTGACAAAATGCATTTCCTGACTGGAGGAAAATATGCTGAACAGAAAGGAGCAGGTGAATGAGATTTGATCACATTAATGGGACAATAGGCACCTTTTTTYCCCCCCTCTTAGAATAAATGTTAGCATATTACTCCCTTGTATAACAAAGATATAGCATAAATGTATACTGCAGGCAGCTCAGAAACACATGGCAAAGTATCTGAGTACTTGCCAAGATCTTTAAGACATAAGTTGTATAGGCAAGAAACCTATATATGAACTCCAGTACTTAAACACAATAAGATTTTTGTTTTAAGAATTTACCCTTCTGTCTTCTTTCTTTTTGAGGGGGTGGGGGAGGGAGGAGGGGGATTTTTTTAAGCCAATTTAAAATATTTTTCTCGCTATRGTGCCTGCTCAAAGTTTCCTGTACCCCTGTTCATTTTTATTTCATAAGGAATAAAACGACTACTTGCAGCTCTGCCAAATAGCTCCAATTTCACTGATCCTAAGAGGCAGACAATTGCAAAATCAATCACATACTACCACTAACACATGCAGAAATCCAATAAACACTCAAGAATTCTGAATCCYGAGTAAGGAAACCAAAGTACATGAACGCTCAATACTAAGTAAAACAACCCCTAAAGCACTACGCTTTCCTGAGCTCTCTTGGCTTACCCCAGGAACCTCACCTCTGCCGAAGCCAACCTCTCCACACACACAAATATACACCCAACAGGAGATTTCGTGCAGCGCCTCCCTCCTTACCCACCCCCCCCATCCCCACAAGGCATTGGGCCAGGTCGCCACCCCTTCCTCCACAACCCCCACCGCGAGCCCAAAACGTAACGGTCGTAACGGTCGCGAAGATGCCGCGCCTCACCGCTACTCTGCACGCGGCACTCACGGCGGCTCACARCGCACGCGCGGGACGGCGAGACGCCTCCTGATTGGCTGCGGGAAGCGCGCGCGGCGCGGCAGGGCGGGGCGAGCGCGCGCGCGGCACGTGGCGGCACCGTTATTAGGCGTCGCGCCCGGGGCGCCATTGTTGTTCGCGCGAGGTGCGGGGCGGAGGTGCCGGCGTGCTCGGTGTCCATCGCGCCTCTTCGAGCCCTTGCGCTGAGGCGGCCCCTCTCCCGCAGGCTGCAGGCAGGCCGGGACGCGCAGCATGAGCCAGGAGGACTGGGACGCGGAGATCGGCGGCAGCGCCGCGCCCCCCGTGCCGCCKTTCGAGGAGCTGGTAAGGAGGGTGCGGCCGCGGCGCCCGCCGCTCTCCCCTMCCCGGGGCCCGGGCAGCTCTCGGGGGCTGTCCCCTGCCTCGGGGCACCAGCAGGCACTCAAGGGACCGGGAGGACAAAGCCCTTCCTCAACAAGGAGCTGCAGCCTCACCTGTCTGGGAGGCTCCAGAGCCTCCACGGAGATCGAAAGAACTACCTAGATCTTTCTGTTCTAGAGACCACCAAAGGTCATCTTTTCTGCAGATCTCCTCTTGTTTCTCTAATTTGTCTATATTCTTTTTTCTCCCTTTTTTTTCTCTTTTCTCTTTCCACACTAAGTGAGTTGGACTGTAAAAATACAGTGTTTGTGAATTCAACTAATTTGGACTGGAGTTGGGAAATGAATCTAATATATGATGGCCTCATGTGGGCTCCTTGGTATGCAGCCCGTAATTCTTAAAATGCAGTTCTGGAGTTCATGGTGGRCCAGAGATGCCTTTAGGTACCTTTTGTCTGTTCTAGTTTTAAACTCCAAAACCTTAGATGCAAAATTTCTGTTCAAGTTTGCTATTTTTTTTTTTTTGCATAACAGCTAAATGGAAATAGTAGGAAATATACAGTACAGGAATGAGAAGAGGTATTGCTAAAGGTAAACACTTAACTACTTCTGGTCTCTGTGATTAAATAGTAGTATCACAGAAGAAAATGCAATAAATTTTATGAGGTTCTGTGCTGAATACTTTGGCTTTAGTGGGCATACTTAAAATCCAACCATGAGGAACAGGAGGGATAAGGAGAGGCAAAAAATATATCCAAATATGCATGTGAGACTAAAGTAAGACTGCAAAAAAGTTGTTGCATACCGTTTTCTCAAGTTGAGTTTAATTTCATGGYTAATAGTTCTTTTAGAGAACTTGCTAGGTTGTACTGAAATGTAAAAAAGCACAATGTTAGAATAAAAGAATTTGTAGTTTTGTGACGTAGCTTTTTGGTGTTAGAGGCACCTAGTGCCTGTCTGGCTTGGGTTAAACAGAAGAAAATAAGATGTCTTCCCTGGAGARAAAATTGACCACAAGAGTAAAATTTGCTCTTGTGACTACTTTCAAATGGGAGTTTCTGAAACCATGAATAAGCAAGAGGCAGGCAGGCACCAGCCATTCGTACTTCTTACTACTTCCTATGTAAATATTGTGTAGTAAAACCCTGGCAGTATGTTTGTGTAGCATGAAGGCAGTATTCCTTAAMAATGTCAGAAGTCTGAAAGCTTTCCAAACAAATACTGGAGAGAAGAAAACAACAACAAAAAACACTCTAGTTTAGGTAATAAATGTTTGTTATATATTTAAGGCTAAAATTTTTTTTAGCAAATTAACTGTGTTGATGCCTCCGTAAATGTTAGAAGATAAAGTTGCTTAACTCCTAGTCAGCTGTACATATTGCACTCGTGGGGACACGAAGTGAAGTGAATGCATTTATAGTATCACATACATAAGAAACTTGGAATGAAAGTGTTGGGAAGACTCTGCACTTCAGAAAGTACGGAAGGCATCAATTTCAATCAAGTGAAAGCCTTAGCAGCTGCACCTGTGTGGGTGTATTTTGCTTATTCTGGAGCTAACAACATGGTGTACCCTTCTTCCTGTTGTAGGAAATTGGTTTCTCTGGAAGACCAGGTGGCCTCTTGTCTGACTGCAATCARAATATAAGCTCCCTAGGTATTGGTAAGACTTTTTTTTGTTGTCTATGTATTTGGGTAGCTGATCACTAGAGTAGTATAGGAGATGAAGCAAATGTGCAGTACTATCATACTCTCTATTTTTTTAGTGTATTTCCATACACTAGCAATATCCAATCTTGTGGGTAATATACAGTGCGTAGACTTTACTTTTGACCCGTACCCGGTCCTTGTTTGCTGCAGTTACATACTCCAGAAAACTTTGCTCATTGCAACTTGTAGTGAAAGTTGGTAGGTGTCAAATTCATACACGTTTGTACAACTGTGTATGTAGATATTGAATATTATATGTGGAGTGCAGTTACAGCAGGGACATCTGAGAATTGTGGTGACTGAGAGAAAACTTTGGATGAATTTGTTGAATGGAAACTTTTATCAGCATTCAAAAAAAAAGCACATGAAACWGTTCACTGTTACTAGGAATCAGTTTTCCTTAAAGCAATATTAATGTGAATGGTGCCCTTGTAAACTTGAAATGAAACTTTAGTTTAAACATGTCAAGCTAGTGTTGCCACTAAAGGGATTTGTCTAGCCAGTGTTTTGTGTGGGTGTACAGTCTCAGATCAGGAAACAGGTTTTGCTCAGAACTGACATAGTCTGTGGAATGGGATAGGAAGTTCTTCCTGGAGTTGGTGTGTTGCAGTGTGTACAGTTTATTTTTATCAAGCCCCACCAGGGTGCTTCTCCTATCTGGAATACACTTATAGACTATACTTAGYTTATAAATATTAATAAGGTAGTTCATGCGTTTCACACAAATTCCATGAGCAGAGTCAGAGTATGCAGAGTCACCTTTCATTTTATTTTTTTCTTGAAACGCTGTGTAACAGTAGTACTCCCTCATGTAAATCAAAATACACATAAGCTAAAAATAATAATCACAGTTATTCTTTTCCAGGTGCTGGTGAAGGGCACAAAAATCAGCAAAGGCAGGATGATTTTGGAGTTGGATGTTTTAGAAGTAAAGGTAGGATTACATAGATAAAGCTTGTGGTTCTGCGTAGCAGTTGAATCTTACATTTTACAGGGTATTTAGGATGGAGAACTATGCTACTGCTACCTGAATATTCTTAAAATTTGCATAACTGTGTCAATAGTAGTGCTGTTCCAGTCTGATCTGTAATGAATGCACTTAGCTGAGCTCTCAGTAGAGTAAATGTAGTTTATTCCTTACTATTCTTTGAAAGTGTTCTGATTTATAATAGCAAGTATACTTTAATCCTAATTGGCGTCTTTGCGTGCTATTCTCTGCCGTGTTTTTAAGTTGACGATGTGTTTAGTAAGCTGAATTGGTGCTGGAGAACGTATGCAACTTGGCCTTYGCATGTTTATGCATGTCTTACTCTTGTTCCCTTTGGCTTCTCTGTTTGTATATATTGCTTTTCTGAAAAGAATAGATTAATGGGCATAGCGCTAGTACTTTAATATAACCACTAAATAGAAGATGAAGTAAATTGTTATAGCTTACTGTATTTGCAGAGGTTGCTATTTTGAGGCACATAAAAGATGGTGGYGGGGGAATAGTTACCATGGATTTACCAGATGTAAATTGTATTCTGTGAATGCTAGCCAGTGCAGAGTAGCTCTGCTGTCTGTAAAGGGCATGAAGGATGAGAGGGATACAAATATGGGGAAGGGGACTGATTGACAGTAGCCTTGTTAAGCACAAGGCAGCAGTGTTAGCAGCTTCCTGGGCCCTGTTGACAAATCAAGAGAAATGGCTCTCCTCTACTTGCTGCTTTGTTAGACCATATAGAATTGGGGTAGCTGATAGATAAGACATTACCGCTGTGGATACATTTCAGGAGAGGGCCACCAGTGTCCTGCTGGCTTGCCTTGGGAGGCTGAAGGAAAAGGGCTCGTACCATCAGGAGAAGATTGATCAGGGAATCTTAGAGCAGCCTTCCTGTAGAAATCGGGAGGTTTTCAAGCATATGGACCCAGGCTCTTCCTGGAGTATCAAAGGAGGTGTATGAGAGAAATGAGTGCAGTTAAAACAGGGGATATTCAGACTGAATATAAGGGAAACCGTTTTTCCCTGGGGAGATAGTGCAGTGGTGCACCAGATGCTTAGAAAGGCTATGGTCTGAATCTTTGGGGGCTTTTAAGGCATGACTTCACCAAGCTGTGGCAACCTTGTAAAAACCCTACTACAAAAGATACTTATGAAGTGTTTGGGTTTTTTTTCTATCCCTAATTGTAGATACTAACGAATCTCTGAACAGAGAGGATCAGCCAGTAAGATTTGGAAGTGGAAGGAGTTTTGGAAACAGAGGTAACTTTTTGGAGTGCCTGTAATTCTAGTGACTCTTTGCATTTGCTATTCAGTTTTGTATCAGTACTAAGCTAGTGTTTTGAGATAAATGCCCATTATTATTTTTACTTAATTTACTCATGGAGTATATCCCTGTAATATCAATATACATATCAATCATAATATCAATGTCCTTATAATATCAATATACAAATCCCTATATTTGTCATGAAGGCAGGGCTCTATGTCTAAAGTCAGTGCGCTTTGCTGGCCTCTACTTTTGATTTCATTTATCCTGGAGGGAGTTTTTTATGATTTTTTTGATATTATAGTACAAAAAGCAGCTGAATATTTGTACTCACGTATGCTCCATATGAGAAAGTAACCAGTATCAAGTAAACTGAAGTGTTGTGTTAATGATGAACTACAGGCTTTCCAGAAAGGAACAGCATAGATGGTCCCACTACACAAAAAGGTGGTTTTAGAGGAGCTTCTGGAGGCTTTGGACAAAATCAGAGTAAGTGTTTATATTGACTGGCTTATGAGGAAGTATAGACTTAATTGTTGCTTTCAGATTGCTTGATCTTTGAGAATTAGAAGTATAAAAGGTGTAAACTATGAAATACATCTTCTTTTGCAGTTATGTGATTGAACATAGACTGCTGCTTTGCCAAGTACTGTTGCTGGGAATAAAACTGCACATATTTCTAAAGGACCTGTTGGGCAGTTGCATTTTCAGATGTGCTGGAAAGAAATACTAGCTTTAAGGGTAGTACTTCATAATACACACAATTTTAGATGCAGTACAAAATGACATTGTATGTTACTTACAGATACTAGAAATGAACAGAGAGGCCGAGCTCAATCTGGTGGTTTTCTTGCCTCTAGGGAGAGAAGAGTGCTTGGAGGACTTGCAGGTGAGACATTTTGTTAGGAGGTGTGAACCTTTTTGATTTCCCCATTGCTGATTCATTATATGATACCTTTATGCTTAGTTTCACTAAATGTTATTAACTTGATTGTTATCCTCACCTGAAGTAGGCAGTGTATTGTGAATGTTGGGTATCTTGCTTGCATACACACACCAAGCATTTTTATAGMTTTGAGAAATTTTCTTAAATGGATTTTCAAAGTTGTTGTCTTTTTTGGTTTTTCTTGCTCCTTCTCTTTCTGGACCAGTCAATGCAGAATGAAGCAAAGGTGCTAGACAGTTTGAAACAAGTTTTTATGAACTTGCTCAATTTTGAAGTTACTATAGATGCCCTCTTGCTTTCCCCATCACTCTCCCAACCTTCCATCCACAAGAGCAGGCCATAGATCGGTCCGTGCTTACAATGTACAAGCTGTGTTGCTTGAGGTCAGCTCTTCCTGATGACTTTAATGTCAATGTAAGTATAAAAGTCATTATATAACTTGAGTTTTTCATCATAATCCTGTCTTCCTCTGCCATTGATGCTACTGTAACTTGAAACCTGTATATCATGCTACTTAATGCATGATATTCATTGCTTCAAGCTCAGACTAGAGATAACATCCAACTAGTAGAGTGATTACCGYGTAACTGATGATCTCTAAAAAGATTGTGATATCTGTTTTTCTGCAGTGAAAAATTATTTTACAATAATTAGCATCTGTTTTCAGCCATGTTCTTTAATATCTTAGGGATATACAATTTGCCTGTATGTGATTTAGTTGAAATTAGGTTTCTTCAGATAAAGCTTTGTTGTTTTAAAAACTTAAGTGCTTGTAGAGGAAACATGCTGATAATATTCACTAGTGTGTACTGCATGCTTAGTGTAGCCTAAACATTCTTTCTATTTTACATGATTAATGTGTGTTAGTGCTTAATGACGAGTATGGACTTTTGTAGGCAGCAGATAGTCTAGACTATACAGAGACTGGAAAGATGGTTTTTACTGAGTAGTTTACTGCATAGGAAATGTGACTCTAAGGCAGGAGGTGCCTCTGGATCTAATGGAAGGCACTCTGCTGTGCTCAGTGCTTGGAATTGCTTGGAATTACAGTTGCTGTGTGCTGTAGTTGGGCAGCAGAGCAAGCTCTTGTAGGTTCTTCTTTCTCTCTGTCCTCTGAATAGTGGTCAAGCTCTTCAAGAAATTGTGTGGTTATTGCAGGTAGTCAAGCCCTGGCTTTCTTAAAACACTTTTCTTTTTGCATGTTAGATGCTGTTTTCCATCTCTTGATGGAAAACTTAAGTCTGTTAAAGTGTGTACGTATATATAGTCTTAGATCTTTGTCTTGATTATATGTCACCATCTTAATAAAACTGCTTTCACAATGTTGCCTAAGACTGTCACTGCTGAACAGGGCATTTGTGGTCCAAGTTACTGTACTGGCTATCTCTTCAGGGCTAACATGTGCAGTTACCAAGTCAAACAATTTGATCTTTTGGGGAATGAGCAGTCTGATAAGTAAACCGCTCTGATTCTGATTCTCTTCCTGTGTGGGTGTTTTTTTTCCTTTCCCCTCATGCTGGTGCATTTAGGAGGGTGTGCAACCTCTTGCATGRAGTAGAGTAAGATTAAGGATTGAAAAGGAATTCTGGAAATGCTGCTGCCTAATAGCTCAGTTATACTAGTAAAACTTTTACATGTGTTAGTGAGGAGCTACTGTGTTTTTTAAGAATAAATGTCTTTGTTTTTTCAGGTGATCCTGAAAGCTTCAGAAGCAGAATGTCTGAATGCCAAGGTCAGAATATTCATGGAATGAATTTTACAAAATGTGTGGCTGTTGAAATAACATAATCTTCCTATTCTGATTAAACACTGGCCTCATGATAGTGACTTTACATCCTTTTAGCTCTTTAGAAGTTTTTTGTAGAGCTGGCATACAACAACCATCTCCTGACTTTGTGCAAAGGTGGACTGGTTCTTAAAATTAGGCGTGTATGAGTTTTTTTTTGATCAGCTCCAGCAAAAAAAAACATGCTTTAGGGCTAACAAGATTTATATTTTTGTGAGTTTAGTTTCATGTTAAACACTTCTTCGCTTCAGATTGACCTTGGCTGTTTGTAGGCAACTGCATCTGCTCTGGATGTGTATATTTGATTTAGAAGGGCTCTTTTCTCTTGGTGGATAAACTCATTTTGTGTAGTTCTTTAAGTGGTCATCTTATCAAAATGCAGTTGACACAGATGTGATTGGAGACTTCTGTGCTATGAATCAAATATAGATCAGCATCTAGTCTGTGAGATTGTCAGCCAGCTGCTGAATTTAATTTTTTTGTATTTTTACTGCCAGGTTCTGCTCTTGACCCTTTAGACACAAACACACCTCTGTCTTCTGGCCTTTGACTACTGCTGACCTAAATATTTCTGCTCATCTRCAGCCATATTTGGATCTGATTAGTTTTCTAAGTGCCTCTAGTAGTTTTTTATTAAAGTTCCTGTGTAGAACTTGCATCAAATGAGCATTTCCCTGAAAGCAATTAATTTTGGAACATTTGTTTTAGCAGGAGGTTACAAAGGACAGGATGAAGAAATAGATTCTGGAAGAAGTAAGTAGCTTCCTTACAAGTAATGTCATAATTTTACTTTCATTATAACTGAAGGAATGTTCTCTTGTTAAAGGTTCCTGGAAGTCTGGTGGTGAAGCAGGTGGCGATGGAGGTAAGAAATCCATAAACATCTTAAAACTTTGGTTTAACATTAATTGCCAGGTGATTACTGTTGKATGTTTAAATACTGTTAACCTTTAAATCACTGAGCATTAATGTGGTCATTATCACCTAAACAAGGATGTGTAATTCTTTGCAATGGGCGGCTGTAGAATTTAAGAAACTCTCTGTTAGTGGCCTCYGTTTAAAGGTTGTGCTCATCAAGTTGAGATGCAGCCAGTTGCGTGAAATTAAGTTAGTAATGCACATGTTTAAGTGATTAGTCATTAAAGTGAACTAAAAGCAGTGGATTCTTGGTCTCAAATGTGCTATTTAAGGTACTATTTTGGGAAAATGTGCTTGATATATATGCTGAGCTCTAGTAAAGGGTAGAATGACCCATATATGCAAGAGATCAGGTTAAAAGATGTATGCATTGAAAATGTTTGAGACGGTCTAAAATATTTACTTGCTGGAATGTTTTTGGTAAATGATTCTGGATTGTTTTGCCTTTCTCTTCCTATTGCAATGCAAAAGGACAAATAGTGAACTGACTCTTATGAGAGTGAGTGATCCATGATTCCTGCTCGTTTTGAGTTACCTCTAAAACTACTTCTGTTGCTTTCCTTTAAACATCAAATAATTCACCTTAAATCTCTAAGACTTGAAAAATATCTTAGAGGGTCGTAAATGTGCAGCCAYGGACAAAGTAATCACCCTTGTATACTAATAAATACACTAAAATATTGCAKGAAGATCTTTTGGTGGCGTTGTTTTCTGCATGTTTGTAAGGCAGAGCCTAACTTCCATAAGTAGCTCTTCAGTAAAATGCCACTGAGTGACTATGAGAAAGGAATGATTTACAAGAGTGACTTTATATCTCCACTTGAGTATTCGAGCTAGTAGTATAGAAGGAAATTTCACTTATAAGATGTCTGTCTTCTGTAGAAGTGGATTCAAGTCTAAATGATRTTCAGTTGAGCTGAACTTCAGCTCTTAAAATTGTTTTGTTTCTCTGTGCATTGCTCATGAACTTGCTTATGTTCTTAAGGTCCGAAGGTGACTTACGTGCCCCCTCCTCCGCCTGATGATGAGGAATCCATCTTTGCACATTATCAGACAGGAATTAATTTTGACAAATATGACCAAAATGTTGTTGAAGTATCAGGGCTTGACCCTCCACCAGCAATACTGGTTAGTGAATTTCTTAGTGTATTTGGGGTTGTTTTGAGTGTTCTAATACCAGTGTTCACTGCTAATGAAGATAAGAAAGGKTTTGAATCCCATAGAAAATATTGTGTTGGAAGGAGATGTGAAAAACGGAAGTTTTAATTCAAAAGATATTTACAAACTACAGAAATGGTCTAGAAAAAAAACAAAGCTATACTGACAGGAAACAGTGCTCCTTAAACTGTATAAAAATGTATCTTAGCTCTTAAAATCTTTCACACTAGTTTATAAAAAGACTGACAGTCCTCATATTGAAGTCAGTTATTGGCGGCTCTTTAACAGCTTCAGTGAGCATTTATTGAAATACTCTTCATTTCAGCAGTCAAGATATTTTTTAATAGCTTTGTGTTCTGTTTTCTGTGGTTACAGCTTATTGCTTAAAAACARTATGTAACTTTGCTCCTGGACATTTTTGAGTTTTAATCATCTAAGGTGGCTATTTCAAAAAGTCTCATTTTAGAGGAGAATGGGGAAGAAAAGGAGAAAGTTATAGCAACATCCTGAAGGAAGAGAATATGCAGGGTTTTTTCCCTTGCTCACCTTTTAAATGGTTTTCTTACTGAGGTTAAACTGGTTTTGTTGTGTAGTCTTTCCTCCTTCAGTGTTGCTTTAGTTTCTCCAAGTAACTGTATCACTTGGAAACTAAGAGCAGATCTGATCAAAATGAAATAAAATTGTGAAATTTCTCTTCATAAGCCACTGTGATTTGGGCTTTCCTGCTTATATCAAGATGTGCTCCATGGCTTTTGTTCACTTCTTTTTAAAGTAAGACCAGCTGAAGGTCTTGTGTCTTTACAGGCAGCTTTGAGTGGTGTGGTTGAAAACTTTGGGGCTTTTACTGTAGGATTTGTGGCTATCGAGATTAGTGAGACTCCCTCAAATTACTACTTTTTAGTTTTTGGATGTTTGTCATATGGTAAGCTGATTTTTTAAGCTTGTTTAAGCATGGTTGTGAATTTTGCAATATTTTTCTTGCAGACTTTTGAAGAAGCTAACCTCAGTCAGACTTTAAACAGGAACATTGCTAAAGCTGGATACTCTAAACTTACTCCGGTGCAGAAGTACAGTATTCCTATAATACTTGCAGGACGGGATTTAATGGCATGTGCCCAGACAGGATCAGGAAAAACTGTAAGCTATTTCTGAGGCACGGGCGTATACCTAAAATATGTGACCTTGGTTTTAGGTAGATGCCTCAGTCTTCCCAAATAAGTGTTCCTCTACTCTGAATCATTGTGCAATTTTCCTGTCATTTCTCCAAATGCTGATTCATTAGACAGGTGCAGCATTATGCAAAGTTGTGAAAGATTGTGCAGGATAGTTATGCTGTTGGAATGAATTTCTCATGCCAAAGTATTTCAGTGARATGGTGGCTTGATGCAGCAGGCAGTCTTAGGACTATTTACACAGAATGAGAAGTGGTAGAGAAACGGTACTGTGTTGATCATGGTATAGTAGTTCAAGATAAGATTTGTTTTCTCCTGTTTAACTGCTGTACCTGAATCTAATCCCCAAGTAATGAAAACATTCTAAAGCTAAATAGCTCACATAATGATGCTTACTCTTCAGGCAGCTTTTCTGCTACCAATTGTGGCCCATATGATGAGAGACGGCATAACTGCTAGTTCCTTTAAAGAACTGCAAGAACCAGAATGTATAATTGTAGCCCCAACTAGAGAATTGATAAACCAGATCTTCCTAGAAGCAAGGAAATTTGTGTATGGGTAAGTTTGTTTTTTAAACCTCTGCCTGAGACTGATCATTTGGCCTTAGTCAGCAGAACTTTTATCTCATCACATGCACTTTCAAAGATTTTCTGTGCAAATCTGCACTAACTGCAAGCATTTGAATGCAGATGATGATACAGGTTAGCAGATTTCTTACTATATGTTTGGGGATTTGAGCTCTTTATGACACTGCTTGGAGGGAYGAGGAGGAAATAAATCCTAAATTTGAGCAGGAATCTTTGAGGAAAAACAGAATGATGTAGATCTAACTCTCCTTGCATAATTTAACTGTGTTTTTATTTTGATCTTTGGGGTGGGAAGAAGGCATGTGTAGTGGTTTCACTTAATTTTCTGTGGTAGTTTACAGTAACTCCTGTAGTTTGGGTTTTCCAGTGTTGTTAGTCTCCCAACAAAATCATTTCACCACTCAAGCGAGTCCAGTGTCTTCGTGGCCAAAAATAAACTGCAAATTTTGTTTCAGACTAAAAATCTGTCAGATTTATCTGATTCACTCTTGTCGCATGTGAAGTTGAGATGATTAGGATCAAGAATAACTGGTTTGGATGTGAATGTACAACATACACATGGAATGCAAGTAGAATCCTTCACAGGAGGTTGTAAAGAAATTCTTGTGTTTGTTGCTTAAGCACTTAACTAGCACTTGCTAGTAGAACTTTTCTATAGAATAAAATCTGATGTAGCTATACTGAATATATCTGATGCACTTAGTGCACTACATAAACGCATTCCAACACTGATGTATGGTCTAGTGCTCGGATGCAGTATGTTCCTTCACAGAAGGATGCGTGCAGCCTCTGTATTATCTGATGGAAACTTGCATTGAGGTTACAGCGAGTGGTTGGTTTTGTGAATTGCCTCCTTTTGTTTATAAGCTGTGTTGCATGGAGTTAAACTGCTCAAGCTAAATAAGTAGCTTGTGATAAATGTTTCCTACCTGTTTTGAGGCTTCAAAGACAAAACCATTTAATACGTAATTGGAATGTTTTCTATACATAGGACTTGCATAAGGCCTGTTGTGATCTATGGAGGAACACAAACAGGTCATTCAATTCGTCAGGTGATGCAAGGCTGTAACATACTATGTGCAACGCCAGGAAGGCTTATGGACATCATTGGAAAAGAGAAGGTAAGGGCTTAACTTAGTCCAAGCTTCCTAAATGCCCTTAGCCTTTTGCCTACGTACTTCTATCAGCTTTCAAGAACTAGCACCAGTAAAGGTAGAGACCTGAGAGGAAAAAAGTACAAAGGGCARCCTTGTCAGCAGGTGGCATATATTTATTCACTTAAACCACAGGTAAGCTTTTCTTGAGATAACCAAATACCTTAAAGTATTTGAAATGGAGTATAGGTATTTCCACTGTCTTTTGAGGCACTGTAGAATGATCTGTATCAGAAGGACTGCAGTGTCCTTGCAAATGGAATTTCAGTATGTTGAAATAATGGTGCATCTTATTGCTTGTGGGGAGAAGGCTGGATTTTCACTAGATTTGTTTTTGGTACAATAGCTGTTATTTAGCTGTTTCCATTAAAATGACACTCTATCAGCAGTGAAGAAGGTGTAAGGTTATTCTCTAGTGTGCCTTATGCCGTTACTGCTATCAGAATTTCTATTGTATTTTTGAGAATGTGTGATGGTAAGAACAATGGGARAGAACATCTCATTCAGACATAATTTGGGAACAAATAATTGACCTGTAGTAATAATAGTTGACCTCTAGTAGGCTCCATCCTAACTTACATTGAAGAACCCACTTCTGAAGCCCTTTGCTCTAAGCATTCTCTAATAATCGGTATAAATATAAGTGATTTTTGTTTAAAGAGCTTGGGATATAAATAAAGCATGTTTCAGGAAAACTTAGGCTTTAACTGTGAATAATTTAGACTTTTTTTCTTTCCCCCTTCTCACTGAAATATCTACAGATTGGTTTGAATAAAGTGAAATACTTGGTGCTAGATGAAGCAGACCGTATGCTTGATATGGGCTTTGGTGTCGAGATGAAGAAGCTAATTTCTTTTCCAAGCATGCCACCGAAGGACAAGCGACAGACCCTGATGTTTAGTGCCACTTTTCCTGAAGAAGTTCAGAGGTAGGTAGAGTAAGTGTAGAAATACATCTGAAGGTGTGTGTGTGTGTATTAAGAAATAGCTATTTGAAGAGTTAAAAATGCTGTTTGTTTAGAAGCTTATAAATTTACTARAAAATGCTGAAAAGCTTAGCTCATGTATGAATAAAGGAACAATTTTTGTTCTGTCTCCTATAAAAGGAATTCTCCTTTTCTGTTTTCTTTTTTTAGACAGTTTCTGAAGAGTTTAAACTTTTCTTTTGCTTTCAGTTTAGGACTGCTTCTTAGTGAGATCTCGGTAATAACCAGTCAGGTGTTAAGACCAAACACATCAAGCCTCTGGTAACCTTGGGAGATTGAAGACTTTTTACTTCGCTTGCTGTTGCTCTTCTAAAATTTTATATTGCCAATTTCCACTTAAACATTAACTTATCTGTTGGGCTTTTGCTGTTGTTTGTTTGTTTGTTCTGTTTTCCCTGCTGTTTCAGCTGCTTTGTGTATGCTGGATATTAAGCCCATTCTGTGCTAGTGAGTGCAGTTTAGTGCTACATCTCAAATATTCTGGGGCCTTTGCAGGAGTTGCCTATTCTGGCAATCTTCTGTCAGAAAAGGTCATCCACAGAAGTGTGACTAAAGAGGAACTCTGAACAAACCATTATTGAGGTAGAACTTGACTTTAGCCAGTAGCATCTGTTCACAATAGGTGGAATTGTAGATTAATGCTATGTGATGGCAATGTGATTTTGAGAAGTGCTTCTGTTGAACAGTCAATAAGGATTGTGCTGTCCTTTGAAAATAGTTTGTATTTTTTGGACCTCTGTAGGATTCTCTCCTCCAGCTTCCTCACATCTCAAAGTTGTGTGTATTAGCATGCTCTTTTGCTTCAGTCATGTATGTCTGGCTGTTGTGAGATGACTTGGAAAAAAGCTGCGAATATTTTTTTATTTATCTTTGTACTGTGTTCTTTCTTTTGTAACATTTTTTAAAAACAGAAGCTTTTTTAACAAATGCATAGCAGTTTAAAAATGCATGCTCTCTATCTTGTGAGGAATGAAATAAATGTTGTGATTGCTTACAYATAAATGACTGAGTCTCATAAAATGAAATTTATGATAAATCTGACACTGGTTTTATTTCTCTTTAAGGCTGGCTGGTGAATTTTTGAAAACTGAGTATTTATTTGTTGTTGTTGGACATGCTGGTGGAGCCTGCAGTGATGTACAGCAAAGTATTCTTCAGGTTGCTCAATATTCCAAGAGGGAGAAGCTGCTAGAAATTCTACAAAGCACAGGTTACTTATTACTAGCCATCTTCCAGGATAGATGAAATCCTTATTTTAAACTTYACTCATGCTGCTGATTCAATTCTGTTAGGTGCAGTATAGATTTGTCAGACTATTGCTTGAAGCACTCTCCAGAGAGTGCTGTTGTTCTAAACAATTTTAGATTTATAAGCACATTTGTGCTACAAATGGGTATTTGCCAAGGTCTCAACTGTACTGAGTAATACCGAACAAGGTGCTCAGGTGGTGATTTTCCCTAAATGGTGAGTAATTGCTCCATGGTATTGCCTATAGTTTGTCTGGGTTTATTTCAGATTTTATTCTAAATCTATCTTAACTTTTAACTGAAAACTGGGAAGCAGCTTGGAGTTAGGATTGTGTCTTGCTGTCCAGTGCTCCGGTCTGCCACTTCTGCTTCAGAACTGGCTTGCACACTGGAACTTAACACAGCTCACAATTAAATGTTTCTTGCTTTTATTGAAGATAGATATAATGCAATACGCTTTATGTAGGTTCTATATTGATTTAGCAATGAGTGTACTAAATATATTTAATGCATACAAGAAATCATRATCATAACTAAATACCTTACTCAACCAGTTCTAAAATTATGTAACTACTGTTCTCAAACATAAGAATTGCAGATAATAGTGAAAAAGCATTAGGTTTTGCACTGCAGTAGGTCTGATTTTTTTGTTTAACACAGGTTGTGAACGAACCATGGTGTTTGTAGATACAAAGAAAAAAACTGACTTCATTGCAGCCTTTCTTTGTCAAGAAAAAATACCAGCCACTAGCATCCATGGGTAAGTATTTTTATGGGAAAGTTACTATTTCGTTTAAGAAGCTTTTCTTCAGATTTATTGTACGGCCACTTTGGGGTGATATAGCTGGTCTTGTAATCCTTAGYAGCTTCACCCAGCTGAGTGTGGACTCTTTCCGCAGGCCAGTTTTTACTTGCTGGTACTTGCTGTGTATGTATCTGTACGGTTCACTACACTTCAAGGTCTTGATTGCTTTAAGGCCATTGTTCATCTGGATTTAGGATGGATTGGCAAGTTTTTAAACTCCAAGGCCAAGTACACTCCAAGAGAACAGTGTCAAGGCCACCTTTGGTATTTGAAAGATCCACTGGAGGAGATCTTTTAGATTAGAAGGACCTTTGGATCATTCAGAGCCTTGGAACAGGCTGCCCGGGGGGTTGTGGAGTCTCCTTCTCTGGAGGTCTTAAACCCACCAGGATGCYACCTTGTGCCACATGCTCTAGGTGTCCCTACTGGAGCAGGGAGGTTGGGCTAGATGGTCTCCAGAGGTCCCTTCCAACCTCAGCCRTTCTGTGATCTGGTTCAACCTTCTTGGCTCAAGCCTGGTCAGCTAGAACAGGTTACCCACAACTGTGTAATTGCATTGTTATTGCTGCCTTGACACTGAAAGTTAAATCAGAGATACATCTGTGATGGAACATTCTTTGCAGGCATATCTGAATGTGTCCTTCAAAGTGTGGAATTAACTTAGATCCTTGAAAATGATGTCTTCTCTCCATTTTCTYTTTTTTTCTTTCAAATCTATTATGGGTGTCCTAACAAGATACTTTTGCTAGGCCTACTTATGTATGTGAATCTTTGCTTTTCAGCTTSTGTCTTAGTATTGCAGACTTCATTTCCTGGATATCTATTCTAACTCTGTTTTCTTTGCAGAGCTAGGGAACAGAGAGAGAGAGAAGTAGCTCTTCGGGACTTTCGATCTGGAAAATGCCCAGTTCTTGTGGCGACTTCAGTGGCAGCGAGAGGCCTGGATATTGAAAATGTTCAGCATGTTATTAATTTTGATCTTCCTCCCACCATTGAAGAGTACGTGCACCGAATTGGCCGAACAGGTCGTTGTGGAAATACAGGCAGAGCCATCTCTTTCTTCGATACCAATGCGGATGGCCACCTGGCCCAATCTCTAGTCAAAGTGCTTTCAGATGTAAGTTTCAAATCTTCCCATGTTGTCTTCTGTTTTTGTGAGGACTTCAATGTACTAAGTAGCTAATTCAAGGTTGGTACACTTGCAGAGCTCTGAATTGGTAGTGGTCAGGGTCTCTAAATTCACTTTTCTAATTCTGCAGGCCCAGCAGGAGGTTCCAGKTTGGCTGGAAGAAATTGCATTCAGTGTTTCTGACACTGGTTTTAGTGTCCCAAGAGGAAATGTCTTTAAATCAGTTGATACTCGAACTGTAAGTTGGTTTAGTGGCTTTTACAAATTTTGTGTGACTGTAAATGCATGTTTAGCTCTATACACTTAAGTTAGTACTGAAACTATTTTGGGTAGAACTGTTTCTCTCACCGTAGTTGCACATCTTGAAAATGCTCAGGGTATTCCTCAATCTAGCTGTGGGTAACTACTTTGCCTGGAATCTACGGTACGGCAATATTAGCTGTATAAATCTTGATGTGCAGTGTCAATAATTACTCTGGGAGAAAAGGTTTGTGCGAACGTGCACTGAAGGTGTAGTGCCACAGATCTTAGGTCTTGGCTCCAAGCAGAGTGTTTATAAAGGAACTAGGGGAGAACTGATAAGCACTAATTGCAAAACTTATTTTCTGTTTCGATGTTTTGGTCCCTTTTGTTGACTACTGAGCCATACTTAAATGACTTCTGCAAAATTAAATTTTGGGGAAGCAGTGACTGAAGGATTTTCTTTGTTACGCTAACTATTGCACCAATGTTAGTTGCTTCTAAGCTAGCTGGGTTTGATCAAAGAAAGGAAGGCAAAAGATTATCCATAGGCCCCTTTGGAAAAGAGACCCTTTATATAGCTGTGGCAGAAAGACTTTCAAAATTGGTATTTTTTTGTTCTCTTGTACAAAGGGATTGCTGATTTTCGCTATATTTTGAAGACTTGTTTAAAATCTCTGCTRTTGAAAATAACTGGCACTTGTGATGTGTCATGTTATAGGAAAGGGGGTAATTTTCTTTCTTGTTCAAATGAGACTTGATAGTGAGTCCCACTAGTTTCCACATGGTGCTGAAAAGTGGGTTTTTTTTTTAAGGAATCCATGTAAGATGCACACTGGTATCTTTTGTATTTTGATGCAGGGGACTTGTATCCTTGAGTGTGCCTGCTGCTATTTTTAGTGCTTTATTTTGTGATATTCCTTGTTTCTATCTACTTGGATTTTGATGCCATCATTACAAGTCCCRTTTTGATCTCTTGGTTTTAAGAAGTTTATCACTTGCATTCCAGAYGTAACACTGCTTAGAGTCTGCAGGGGAAGTCAGTACTGCTGCWTGTCTTACTCGTGCAACTTCTCAAGCTTGAAGTTTCTCATGTTCAAGCCTTCRTACACTAATTTTTTGCATCTGGTAATCGGTGAAAGTATTGGATATTTTGAGTGCATCCACTTGTCTGATCACCCTGATCTAAAGATACAAATGTTCACATACCCAAGGGACCTCAGTTATGTACTTSAGCTTTGGTTTTCTTCTTGCTGTTGAAGTGTAATTTCTAGCAACCAGACTTTTCAGACATCTATATGTTCCTATTCAGGAATGCTTTTTATTTAGATTACTTCTAAAGCTGGATCTCAGCCTTTGAATCTGAATTGCCTGCAAAACTAATCTCCAATCTTTGCAAGTTTAGTCTCTCAGTACTTAATGAAATAGGTCCTTTCTAGGGCTGAGTCTCTTTCATGTCCTTGGCTTCCAAATTAGAAAATCTGACWGTGACTCTTGATCACTAACTTCTGAACAAGAAATTTCAAGAAACTTTTTTGTGAAGTCTTGGGAATATTGTTTTTTTGTCATATATATCTTGCTCATGAATGTAGAATTGGAGATGTCAAATTGTTACTTTAGCAGCTTGGCTTCCTGCAGCTTGGCTTCCTGCTCCTCTCTTCATAGTCTTGAGAAATAGGAACTTCTTTTATAATTGATTACTAAGCAGAGGACTTCAGAAAATGATTGCTTGTGACTTCGGTCTTTGAAGTTTTGTTTTTCTTTAYAGCTGAGGGCATAATTAAACTTCTAACTTCTTAAAAAGGACAGTTCTTTCTTAGTTTAACTGTGTTTAATTAGTTTAAATGTGTTTCAGTGTTTTAAATCTTAATGTTTGGAGCAAAGGCCAAATTATAAATAYTTTTTCCCTCCTGTTGGTGATGCTGCTGCTTCTAATCACTTCTGAGACCTCTTGAAGATAATCCTAACAAACTGCGTATTCCTAATCGGGCATTGCTGAGGGAGAAAACAGATTTCTACCAATGTATGTACTTTTTCAAACTGACAGTTATTAGTAGATTTGAATGAGGCAACGGTTGGAGCCTTTTGTCTGATTATTTAATAGCAATTCTGTAGGTCACTGGATTCTTTTTTTCAAAAGTCTTTTTACTGGAAAGTACAGCAAACTGATTCKTATGTGGAGAAATAAGGTTTTTCAACAAAGCTGTAGTTAACTGCTTCATTTTGGATAAGAGAATAAGCTTGGATTTGAATAGAAGTCTTGGACAACCTAAAGAGGGGTTATTCTCTCACCTGGTAATATGCTAGACTGGTAAAATTGCATTAATTTTGAATGAATATCTAAACCTAATGCCTATAACTTGCTAAAAAGCCTCTTCACTTAAATGTAATGATCTAATAATATTTACCAAGTCATGTTCAGAAGAATTTTGTGAAACTGCAGAATTTCTTTATAAGAGCTTCTCTTCAGGGGTTGAATTTGAATGTTAAATTGATTCTGAATTATCTTATTTCCTAGAATTATGAAGGCAGAGGCAGCACCAACCCAGGAGGAATGAGACCATCATACACTGCAAGTGCATTTGAGTCATGGGATTAAAACTCATTTAGTGCCAAAATAAATTGTTTTCTATTGTGCTCTAAGTGAGCTGTTTTACTTATTGTACCTTATTGTTGAGCTTTGTGGAATACTTACGGAACATTTAATGTTTGAATGCTAGCAAATAATCATATAATAATGCCTCTGACAATATATGCATGCTCAGTTATAATGAACCTTGTCATTGTCACTGCATGTAAGAGGGCAAAGCCATTTTTAGAACACACTTCATGTATTTCTTAGTGTTAATTTTCAGTAAGAGTTTACTGGTACTTGCCAGCTTATATGTTGCTGTAAAGATGTGCAACTTGATCCCGGTTTTTGTAAGCGGAAAATACACTGCTGAAATCATCACTTGGTTATCAACATTTTRCATGGGAGAGTAGTGTTGTGGATGCCCATTTTGGGGAATGCCTTTGTGTAAAGAGCTCATCTAAACTTAMTGTCTCTTCCTATTTCTATAGGTCAGTTAGAAAATTAGTACTAAATCATCATAGCTAATAGCTTATCTTAAGGTGCTGTTTAGCTTCTTGTAAACTCTTATTTAATAAATGCTTGAGGATCATGTTTTGTATTGGTGGTTTGTTTCCACAGTAAAAGGACATAAAGGGCCATGTTCTGACAGCTTCATGAACTGCTGTGTAGTATATTCATGTTTTTCCATATGGAACTGAAATTCAGTGGCTACATGCACCACTTGGCTAAATTTGATACTTGTACAGAGCTGTTCTTTGGGAAAGATGGAGCRCTGTGGTGCATATGGGTAATACTTCTGCCTTGGACAAGCATACAGACTGTTCTCATATCTCTCTTGCTGGAGGGCTTGGTTGAGCTGTCTTCATGTGCTTCCTAGAAGCTGTAGAGGGTAAACAGATATTGTTGGTTCTGAGATTTACCTGAAATTGCTTCCTCTGMGTGTTTTAGGGTTTTCCAGGGCAACAGCCTATGAAGGGGTGTACCACTACCTCAAAATGGAAACATGAGCACATACAGTGCTCAATGCTCCTCGCTTGGCCTTTCCATTTAGCACAGAGAGTTAATGCCGTTTACAAGAGTGAGGGTCTGATATCAAAGTTTGAGAGATCTGGAGGTGGGCTAAGCAATGCTAGGGACAGTTACTGCAGAAAAGCATTTTTTATTTTCTGAAGAAATACTTAAAATACCTACTTGCTATATACAAAAATATTTTGTATTGGCTTTTTATGCACAGTATGTTGCAGTCAAATAGTTGTATAGCTGAAGTAATGATGTGTTTAGTGCTTTTTCATARGCAGAAAACATGTGTGTGAAGTCTGTACAATACAGCATCCTGGGCACTGTGACTTTTTCTCCTGATAAGTCTTGAGCTTCTTAAGCTTCCCTTGGAATTGAAGTTCAGGGTGCTGTTGGTTGATGCTGCAGCAAATATGACTGAAGTGCATGCTTTCTGAAGGAAGATGTACAGCTGCAAGTCCTTCATTTCAGTGAGAATGCAACAAAGCAACCACAGTCTTGGGCTACTGGTATCCCAAAAGGAACTATTAAAGGGAACCTGATTTATGGCCTTGTCTTGGCCCCTGCCTAGAAGAAGTTGTTCTGGCCTTATTTAGCTTTTGGGGCAAATGATGGRTGGAAGCTAAAGTTGCCAATACTGCCTTGTATTTTTTAAGTTGTAGGATAAGTCAGGATAACTTGAATATTTACCACATGTTATTAAACAGAGCATCTCACTGCTACCAAATTTAAGAGCTCCTATACAGAGAGTATATTAGAACTTGTAAGTTCCTTTAAAAATTTTTGGAGAAGACCAGTCCTTCCTGTGTTAGGTGGAATGTGTGGAGGAGGAGGTGCTGTTCTGGTGAAAGGTGAAACTGAAAGGAGTGTGGGTGTGTGTATGTATGTGCGCGTGCTATCTTTGCAAGGTAGGTATGTGTTTGCTTACACGGTTTCTGTCCTGTTCTTGGAGTACTCTTGCATGTTGTCTGCCCATGCAGAGGCTTTTGGTGTTTATTTCTTCATGTTTCCAGGTAAAAAGTTGTACAGACCTTTCAGTTCGCCTGGTTGCTGTCCTAAAATACTGTACCTCTAAGTGATGTAATGCACCTGGAAAGTGTTTTTCTCTCCTGCTTCAGGTAAGCATATATGGGCCTCAGTATCTAGTTTATCAAAATGTAGAACAGCGTTTCTAAGATAAAAAGATAATAGCTACATGACTTTAGGAATGTAATTGCTCGTTGAATAGTGTCTCTTAGAGCTTGTGACAAAGAACATCTGATGGCACTGTTGCAAACACGTGTTTAACTTCCCTTTTAGAGAAATATATGTTTAATAAAGCTCTTTACTCTTTAACCTGGTTTTGTATACTGTTTACTTTCCACTATTACATTTTTTGTATACTATTTTCTGGGACTTGCACCCAGTGGTAAAATTACATATTCTGGGGCTCTGTCTCTTRCTGTACTGCTATTGAAAAATTGAGGGCATAGGAATTAAGGGCTGAGAACTGCTGCATCAAGCAAAATTACAGAGCAACAAAAGGTGTCTAGTCTACTCTCAAAGCTATATTTTGTCTCAGATTGTTTCAGCTCTCCTATTGGCTAAGCACACTTTTAACAGAGACTTAATATTCTGTTTTGGAAGTGCATGTTTAAGTTTCCCACTCTGCAAGTTAGTGTTTAAAGAAAAAATGGACTTGTGTCTTGTCACCCTTGGGGCAGGTGGAAGGCAAGGGAGGCAGACACTGCACATGCSTCTTGGACTGAAGGCAGACTGTGGAGCTTCCCTGCTGCTTGGCTGTGGTGGTTTGCTCAAGGGAGAAAAGGGGAAAACTGCCTACTGGGCAGTTCTGGGGAATTTGCTGGTGACATAAGGGATGTGTGTTGAAACACAGTGATGTTAAGCACAGTGTTAATTTTAGATTGAATATGGCTGCAGTGGTCCTTAGGAATTGTTCAAGATGGATATTCCTGGTGTTAGACCATCCTGTTGTTGCTTCTGTTATCTCAGATTTTATTTTCTGTGAGTATATAGTATATGTTTAATTTCACTGTTCAGCAATAATATTTCTTACAGACTTGGTGCTATTYAGATATTTTCATGGTATGAGTTATTTCCTTCTCTTCTGTAGTAGCCAGTAAGCAACATTAGAAGAATCATAGGCCTAAGGAAAGTGTACTGATGATATCAAGTATTGTGTTTAAGTATATTCTCATATGATTGATMTTTTTTCTTAATAACTTTCAAGAAGACAATTGAAGCCAAATGGGACCCTGAATCTATATGATATAGTCTAGATTCATCTAGGTATATAGTCTAGATCTTAGAATAATTAAAGAATTTATATTAAGTGCTTGTAATAAGACTTTCTCCAAAGTCTTTGGCACTCCCCAATGCAGACAATTTGGTTTTTATTTCTCTTTTGTTAAGCAGAAGTGAAAATACTTCAGTGAGGAAGGAAAATCAGACTCCTTTGTGTTGTGGGAAGCTGGGATTCAGTTTGCTGTTCCAGTATAGTTAGGCAAATCATTTGAGAGACAGACAAAGATTTCCCTTCCTCTTTTTGTCTATCAGAGCCTGCTTTTCCAATGTAAAATAAATGATATTTTCTTCAGAATTCAACCCAAAATGTGCCTGTTGCCTGGTGATATCAACCAASAAAAGTATGAATAGTGATTGTGGTTAATTAGTTTCAGACTAGTAGTTTGTTGTCGTTATTGTGTGATTAAATGCAATGTAATTCTCTCAATAGAACTTCCTTGTGCTATTTTTTGTCCTTTTTTAACTAAAAATGGATTTCARTATATTCAAACTCCTATAAGACTTAGTAAGACATGAGATGCCTTGTGATAAAGCTGTTTTTGTGGAAAGAYGGATGAGTTGAGAATTGACCAACTTCAGCCTTTGGTAAGTGTAGTGCTGTATAATATATGTGTTCAGCTGCATGTGTGTAGTGATTTCTGAAAAAGCTCATTTAGCTTGTGTTTACAGTGGAAGGGCTACTGTTGTTATGCTGATCGGATGAGAGGTGGATTATTTTGAGCAAATTTGTAGTKTTGAGGTAGATTCAGATCTCCCTTTTTCTGTTTAATTCCAAATACTGATTTGAATCATAGAGCTATTATGGTTGGAAAAGACCTTCAAGATGAGTCCAACCATAACCCCCATCACCTCCATGCCTGCTGAACCATGTCCCTGAGCACCTCACCTATGTTTCTTGAACACTACCAGGGATAGYGACTCCACCACTTTCCTGGGCAGCCTGTTCCATCCAGTGCTTCACCACTCWTGTGAGAATGAGAGTGTTTAGGCAGAGTTCTTTAGGGGGGAAAAAAGAAAAAAGTGTCAGTGTCGGTGATCTCTGGACATGCATGTTGAGAGCTTAAGCTCAGTGCCTCTGACAGCAGCCTCCATCTGGACTCTGGCCCTCTTTCCTACAGATGGTTACAAAGGAAAGAGTAAGTATGAATCAGTTCATTTACCCTTTTTAAGTAGCAGAGACGTGCAAGCTGGGAGGTGGCTTACCAGTAGTCCTTAAGATAAATCCTAAACAAAAAAAAAAGAACGTTTTTTTTTATCAACATTAAGGTAGTGGACATATACCAGTTGAAAGTGTATGATGAGAATCAAATACTACCCTCTATTCAGTGGACACCTCTATATGGCAGATGTGAAATCCATAACATGCCTGTGMTGTAATACATAGAATTACATCAAAGAACACAATTTTTACTTGGAGGATTTTTTTCATTTTCTGTTTCTCATGTTTTCATGCATTTTCCTGTCAGTATTTTTCCTCAGTAGTCGAAGTTGCTCCTTGCTGCTGCTCTGCAATTGCACTTCTGTTTGCTCTGGCCCTTATTTTGTATGGCTTTATCTGAAGTACTTAAGCATCAAAAATTACGTTCCCATAACATAAGCCATGTGCAGGTAAGTAACCTTTTTTGTTTTTTAGTTGTGTCTGAGAAACTTGCTTTTAATTTAGGCAAATACTATAAACTGTATCTCTTTCTTCTAATGAGCWCTAGAGTGGAAGTAACCAGTGTTGGTTATGGTCCTAATCAGGGATCTATTTTTTTATTTCTTTTTTAAAAAAAAAGAGAGGAAAGGATGTTTTGTGGCCCTGCTACTAAAATCATACAGGTTTCTCAAATTAACAGATTAATCAGATGAATTCACTTAAACATACTCACTTGTAAAAACAAATTGCCTTTTAGAGCTGTTAGATAACAGTTGTTAAAGGGTTTTATTATATTAGATACCAGTTG